CAGGCACGCACGGAGGTGACCGCAAACCGCCGGCTATGCCTAAGGGATCTAGGGAGGCAGAGCGGCAGGAGGGCTTGGTGCCGCTGGTCCTGGGTGACTGCGGAGGGACCTGGATGCACCTTGAAGGTGCTGCAGATCCAGAGAGGAGGGGAAATGTCATCGGGGCTTGGTGCCCCTCTGGTTCCTGGTCCTGAGTGTCTTCAGCCCTGTTGCTTACTGTTCACCTAGCACAGCCGCTTTAGAGAAAAAGGGGGTATCTCCTTTCTCAGCCCCCCTAACCCTTCTGCCTGGCGCATCAGTCCCCCAGTGGCGGGGACCGTAGCTGCCGGGTTCACGGCAGTGTCCCTAGGCCTATGTGTCTGATGGCATTCTGCATCGCTCAGTCACCCAGGGGCAGCTCCTCCTACATCCCCAACATCCAGGGGGATTATCACCAGGTCCATGGGCTCTCCCTGTCATATCTCGGGTCCAGCCCCTCCTCTCCATCTCCCCTACATGCGGACTGTGGTGGAACAGGAACCAGACGCCATGGTCCAGGTAAACCTTCCAGCAAGTGGACTTGGACGTCCTTGGATTTGAGTCCCAATGTCACTACTAGCTGCGGATGGGACTGAGTTAGGTTGCAATTCAGCCTCGGGAGCCCAGTTCCATGCTGTGTACTCGTAGGGTGTTGGGGGTTCAGCGTCCTACATGGGCCCCCGGCTGCTGGGATTAGGTCACAGCCTCACCGTTTTCAGCTGCACTAATGGTCACCTCACTGGCCTTCCTGCCTCCCTTCCTGGCTCCCCAGTTCCTGGTCCCCTTCCACTGTCCGCCCTATTGGTAGGGTTATTCTATCTCTAGCCCGCCTGAAGAACAGTGCTACACGGCCTTCCCACTGCATTGCCTGCAGGCCCTGCCGGGTCAGACTAACCGACACCGCCCCGTGATCCGCCCACATGATCTGATCCCACAGTTGTAGCCGCAGAAACCACCTTCTTTCCTTTGAGCCCCTCCTCCTTGTGCCCCTGAGACACAGAGCTGCTTGTGGTTTCGCAAACACTATTCTGAGCATCATTTTTTTTTTAATTTTTTTTTTTTATCCTCACCCGAGGACATTTCACATTTTTTGTTCAGATAGAGCGGGAGGGACAGAGAGAGAGAGAGAGAGAGAGAGAGAAACATCGACGTGAAAGGGACACATCGAGTGGCTGCCACCCACACAACCCAACCAGGGCCGGGGACAAACTGCAACCGAGGTACATGCCCTTAGCGGGAACCAAACCCGGGTCTCTCTGGACCGGACCGCAGGCCGATGCTCTAACCGCTGAGCCAAAGTGGCCAGGGCTGTTCTGAGCATCTTATTCCCTTTTCCTGAAGTGCCTCTTCCTCCTATGGGAGTGAGCTCCTATTCACTCCTCAATGGCCAGCTTACAAATTCCTGCCCCTGGTAACCCCACAGTCTCTCTTTCCTTGGTACCTTCTGGGTCCTTGGAGATGTTCCTGAGTCACTTCTCTTCTCCGCCTGCATGTTCACTGGGCCCCTCTCCGTGGACATGGGGCCCCTGGCAGGCCGGGCACCCCTCTGGGTCACGTGTCTCCCCAGGGCCAGGCACAGCGCCCTTCATCTTTCGGCTTAGTGCTCATTTCCTGGTGTGAAGATCAACAGAGGCCGTTTTCCAGGAACTGGGCAGCTTTGGGGAAGAGCTGAGGACGCGAAAGTGAAGAGACGCTTTTAGTTCTGGTGCCTTTTTTCTTTTTTTCAGAAGCAACAGCAGCAGAACAGCTTCCTGAAGTTCAGAAGGTCAGGAAGAGTGCAGCCCAGACCCCAGTGGCCTTGCCGGGCCCTCTTACCTTTTCTTCTCCACTGTAGCCGCGTGCCAGGCTCAGGGCCATAGTCCTCACATTTATCCTTTGTTTTCCTTTTGGTTTGACTTCTTTAAGCTCAACAGGAAACTCGTGAGTAGCTGTGTGAAACCAAACCAAAGAATAACCTCAGGCCTTACCCTCCGCCTCCTCTTCCCAGAAGCCTTCCAGGCCCCGGGTTGTGCTTTTACCTGCTCTCCGATCGCCCTTGAAGCTGGTATCACGTGCTGGACTGTTTGGGGGCACGCCATGGTCTATGCATCGCGTCACCTGTGCTGATCTTGTCCTGCTAATGAGCTTGCAAAGGCAGGAAGCACGCTGTCCCGGCTGCTGTTGAATCTCCAGTAGTTCAGGCTGAGGGCCCAGCCACGTGCTGGGCGCACCGTGGGGTCTCACCTGTATTTACTTACTATGGACTCTGGGAGCTCTGCTGGTGTACCTTTCAGAAGGGTCTAATCAGTTTCAAGTAAATTGGGCAAAAGCCATTGGCTTCTGGAAACTCCCAGGGGCATTCTCTCCAATATCCAAGGACAGGGCAAGAGACAGGGCCCTTTCCCGAGCAGAGCCGCCCGAGTGTGGCTGCTGTCTCGCCTCGTCTAGGCTATCACTTTTCTCGGACAGAGACGAGGGCCACCTTCCACCCACCTCTGGGCACCTGGGCCAGCTTTGGTCACAGGCAGCATTTGTGCCACTGGCTGCATCTTACCTTCACTGGGCTTTCAACAAGCCTGAGGGCCGTGGACATGGCCCTGCGGAACCTGCCTGGCTCTTCAGCCTCTACCAGGACACTGAAGAAAGGACACAAGAGGGTTCTCTGCTCTTTTCCAGCTTTGGCCACTTCTTCAGGAGTCCCTCTGCTAGGGACAGAGGACTCGCCCCCCCCCCCCACGGCAGGCAGTGCCCTGCCCTCTGAGAGCTGGCGCACCCCCATATTTGACCTGACAGTCACATAGGCTAAGACTGTGGTCACTGCTTTCTTCTGAGACAAAACCATCCTCCTCCCTTCCCTTCCTCCAGGTCTCTCCCACGATCGATGGCAAAGTTCACTCCAGGGAGTTTGGTTTACAGGAATAGAATTTAGAGGCTACCACACCCCTCTAAGGTCCAAGGGGGTGTTTGAACAGACACGGGGCCTTGGGATCTCCCTTAGATCCGGGAGAGCATGAGGACAAGGGGTTAGGGAATAATCTAGGGCCCTGGTTCAGTTCTGGAGAGCCAGGCTTCGGGGATGCTGGAAGAAAGCCCTACACAGGGACATCGGGTAGGGTGTTAAAAGCTCAGCCTTGGAGTCAAACGGTAAACCCAACTCTCTAACGTGGGCCAAGTGGGACCTTATGGGCCTTCTCTGGGCTACCAGATTCACAGCTGAAAACTGGAATGATGCTCAGCTCATAGAGTTGTCAACTAGTAGGTGCCTAGTAGATTTATTCATTTATTTCACAGGTAGAACAGTGTGAGATGCCAAAGATGCAAAACTGATGTGGACGAAGGTGGGAAGGACAAAAATACAACTTAACAAAAGGCCAAGTGAATAACACCATTATTTTACTCTTTGTTAATTTCCCTAATTTTAAACTTTTATTAGAAATATTTTATGTTCATATTGTTAATAAGTTAGGATCAGGGCTATGAAAGGAAGAGTTCGGTGCTAAGTTGAAAAATAACATCTGCTTTGGATAGGGTGGTCAGGGAAGGCTTCTTTGAGGAGGTGGCTTTCTTTCTTATGTGGTCCATCCAGTAGGGAATGTTACATTGCAAGATTCTGTTTTTCCTCTAAAGAGGAGCTTAGAGATGACCGTAGCCAGTGGGAAAAATGAGAAATGACTAATGATGCCACGGGGTGAGAAGAAAAATCAGGATGAGAGGATGATGACACCATATGGTTAGGGTGGCACTTCACTAGCATAGCCTTGAAAAGCTTCACAGACCTTGTCAGTTACAACCACCTTGTGAGATGGGCAGGGCCCAGGTGGTGGTCTCCCAAGCTTGGAGAGGATGCATGACGGGCTTCCCGCAGCAGGTGACGTCAGGCAAATTTGGACTTCTTTGCTGCTGTCTTTGGGAGCAGGGTCCTCAGCTGTGGCCCCTGGCACGGGTTCAGACCTGTGGTTCAGACCTGTGGTTCTCAGTTGGCTGCAGCATTGCAATTATGTGCAGAAGTTTATAGAACTGTTGACACCTGGGTCCCACTCCCAGAGAGTCTAGAAGATCATCAGTCTGGGGTGGGTTTGGGCATCATAAGCTGTAAAAGGTCTCCAGGTGATTCCAGTGGTTGAAAAGCGCTGTTCAGACCCTCATGGACCTGGCTGCCACTAATGAGCATGTTCTGGAGAAGGCTTCCAGGCAGGGAGAGCCACGATGATGAACCTGTCAGCAAATGCAGCGTCCTATTCTTAGTAAAGATTCAGGTCACTAATAACAATAACAACAACAATCCTGGTGACTGTCCTGCTCCTAGACTGTTGCCCCCTGCACCAGCCTTTCTGCAAGGTGGATCCAGCTGGAAATTGACGAGTGCTTCTGTGGTGGTCCTCAAGAGAGACATATTTGATAACTGGGACCAGGGTCCTTCTTGGGAATGATGCTGGACTTGGTGGCAATTGAGGAGGTTCAGTCACTGAAGAAACTCAGGGGAAGGTTTTATTTGCTTACGCGTGGCTTTTGATGGGTCATCCGTATTTCTGCAAGGACAGAATGATCACTGTGTCATCGGCTTGGAGTGATTCTGTGTTTCTCCATCCTCGGGGAAAGAATGAACAACTGGTCAACCATAGCACTTCTTTTGATGACTGTGGGTTTGATCTGAGCTATTTTAGTTTACCTTTATCAGGGAAGAAAATTCTGTTTCTAGACTCTCGTGGCCTTCTGGGCTTCTTGGGCCATCTTGACCACTGTCACTCCAATAAATGGTAGACCTGCGTCTTTGCCCGAAGTTGTTCAACTTGAAGCTGAAGGCCTATTTTTCTCTCCCCAAGACCCTGGCACTGGGCATCCCACATTTTGGCTGGGCCGTCCACCCGCTGCCAGGTCTCATCCCAAAATCCTCCCCTCGGGACCAGAGGGTTGATGGTGGGATGCTGCGGGCTCCAGAGGGGTATCTGAGCTAGGCCTGTAAGAAGCAGCCACTGTAAAGGTTTCTTCTGTTCTCTCTCTAGCCCTAGAGCAGCTGCTGACGGAGCTGGAAGACTTCCTCAAGGTCCTCGACCAGGAGAACCTGAGCAGCTCAGCCGTGGAGAAGAAGAGTGGTCTGGCCGAGCTCCTCCGTCTGTACATCAAAAGCAGCAGTAAGTGCGGCCCAGGGGCCTGGGGGAGGTCCCCGTGGAGGTTGTCGTATTGACAAGGGCTACCATCACGAGGTTTTACAGACAGGTGGCTTCAAGAACAGACGTTCATTTCTGACAGTCCTGGAGGCCAAAAATCCGAGATCAATGCGTCTCAGGTTCGGTCCCTTTGGGGGCCCTGTCCTTGGCTGGCAGATGGCTGTCTGCTCCCTGGTCTTCACACCGTCTTCCCTCTGTGCCTTCTGTGTCCAGCTGTCCCTTCTTATAAGGACACGGGTCATACTGGATTAGGGCCCACTCCAGTGGCCTCATTTACTGTTAATCATCTTTTTAAAGACCCCTTTTCCAAATATGGTCATTCTCTGAGCTACCGAGGGCCAGCCTTCAACATGTGAACTCTAGGGCACGGAGTTCAGCCCATAACAGTGTAGGAGGCACGTGACTTGAACGGGAGCCTAGAAATCTCTAAATAGTCAACACATCATGAGTGAGGTTTTAAACGAAGTGTTTGCAGAGCACTTTTCCTTACCGGTTAGAAGTAGAGAAGGGATCATAAACTCTCGTAGTAATCGCTGCAGCTTCATGGAGCACTTCCCACGGGCTCACACGTGGGGACTTGTTTCGCCTTCAGGGAGCCCCTGAGGGGGGTGCTGTGATGCAGAGGTGGAAACTGAGGCCTGGAGAGGTGAAATGACCTGGCCCAGGGTCATACAGCCCAAGAGAAAACAGGAAAATACAGTTATAAGAATTTGTAAATCGCAGAATGCTGGGTTCATAGTTTTCTCTTTTTGACTGAGGTAGGTTTTATACGCAGTCAGATACACAGATCCTAAGTATTGTTTACTACCTGTGTAAGGCGTGGAATATGTCCGTCGTCCCAGAAAGTTCCTGCCCTTCCCAGTGACTTCCTCCCCACCCCCACACCATGACCACCGTTGTTGGCATTTCTCCCACCGTAGATTAGTGTTGCCGGCCCTTGAGCTTCGGATTAATGGAATCGTAGTGTGTGCATTATGCCTGTGGGCTCTTTTGCTCGGGAGATTCGTCCATGCGTGGGGAGCGTCAGTCGTTCCTTCCTTTTATTGCCCAGGAGTGTTTCATTCTGTAAATATGCCCGGTCTGCTTCTCCATTCACGTTGGTGGACGTGCCGGTTTTTCACATGTTGGGACTATTATGAATTAGGCTGCTCTGAGCACGCTAGGACGAGTTTTCTTGTGGGCATATGGTTTCATTTCTAGCACATTCAGATTTTTTTCTTTATAGAAAAGCCTTCTTGTGAAGTTGTAACAGTTGAGTTGAGTTTATTTTTATCTGGGATGTTTGAGAATGGGAAGTGATGTTTGGGGACAGTAAGGGACCACAGGAGGGCATGTCATCTGAAAGGCCACCTTCCTCCGTACCAGGGAAGAGACATGCACCTGCTCTGGCCATCACAGTCAGGAAATTCTCCCAAACGCCCAGCCTGCCTCGCCAGGCTACATGTCAAGGTCCTTTCCTCATCTTCGTTCCCAGTGGAACTAGTTTGTGTTCTCTGAATAACAGAAGTTGTAAAGCTGAACACGATGCTGTCTGCCCGGCAGCCCTCTCTTCCGGTGACAGAATCCTGGCTCCCTTCGCCTTTCATCAGAGGTGTTTTCCTCGAGCCCTGGGTCTTCCCGCTGCAGGCGGCCCCTGGTTCCCAGGCTCCTCCTGGCTTTGTAGTGAGCGTCGGAGGGCCTGCTGCGCGGGCTGGTCAGCAGCACATCAAAGGTGGGAGCAGCGAGTGGGAAGCCACATGACAGAGAGGTAAGTTAGAGAGGCTGAATCAGCCTCGAAAGGAGTCCTCGGTGGATCCTTCCAACAGCACACTCCCCAGCCCGTGGCCATGCGCTGTGACCCGAGAGCCTTCAGTGATAAAGAACCGCTGTTGGGAACTGGAAAACACCTCTGCAACGGGGTCTGGAGCACTGTGCTTGGTCCTAACCGCTCTGTGTGTGAGTGAACGTGCCGTGGCCCTTGCTGTAGGATGACCTTTGTTTCACACTTGATCTTTGTGGGTTCCGCTCTGATAACATCAGGTCTTGCCACCCTTGGTCTCTGCAGTTTGCAGGCCTGCAGAAGGCTGCTGAGGACCAATCAGTGGGCTTCCAAGTGCAAATGCCCACAGAGTACCACCCAGACTGCTAATAATAAATGTGCGCAGCCTCACCCAGGCTTGTGGCTGTCATGTCTATTCTTTTTTTTTTAATCTTCACCCGAGGACACTTTCATTTTTTGTTCAGATAGAGTAGGAGGGGGAGAGAGAGAGAGAGACATCGATGTGAAAGGGACACATCGAGTGGCTGCCACCCGCACGACCCAACCAGGGCCGGGGACAAACTGCAACTGAGGTACATGCCCTTAGCAGGAACCGAACCCGGGTCTCTCTGGACCGCAGGCCGATGCTCTAACCTCTGAGCCAAACCGGCCAGGGCTGTCACTTCTGTTCTTAAGGTTGACAGCCCACTCATTAATTGCCACTGTTTGAGAACTTCTTGGTGCATCCTCTTCTGGTCCCGTTGGTGCATCCTCTTCCGGTCCCCTTGGTGCATCCTCTTCCAGTCCCATTGGTGCATCCTCTTCCAGTCCCGTTGGTGCATCCTCTTCCGGTCCCCTTGGTGCATCCTCTTCCGGTCCCCTTGGTGCATCCTCTTCCGGTCCCCTTGGTGCATCCTCTTCTGGTCCCCTTGGTGCATCCTCTTCCGGTCCTCTTGGTGCATCCTCTTCCGGTCCCCTTGGTGCATCCTCTTCTGGTCCTCTTGGTGCATCCTCTTCCGGTCCCCTTGGTGCATCCTCTTCTGGTCCCCTTGGTGCATCCTCTTCCGGTCCCCTTGGTGCATCCTCTTCCGGTCCCCTTGGTGCATCCTCTTCCGGTCCCCTTGGTGCATCCTCTTCCGGTCCCCTTGGTGTATCCTCTTCTGGTCCCCTTGGTACATCCTCTTCCGGTCCCCTTGGTGCATCCTCTTCCGGTCCCCTTGGTGCATCCTCTTGATGACAAAGTGGACTTAACAGTAGTTAACATTTCTTGTGCATTTGCTATGTCCCAGCACTGTGCTTAGGGTATGAAATAACATGGATGATGTCTTCTAATTCTCGTCCCAAGTCAGTGAGGGAGTTGTTGTCTTACCAACAAGGGAACCGAGGCTTGGAAAGGCACTTGCTTGAGGCACATGTCTGTGGGCGCCAGAGCAGGGCTTGGGCTGCTGTACCTAACCATTGCACTCTCCTCAAACGCCAACTTTCCAGATTACTCTGTACCGTCCAGGACAGAATCCAAAGCCCCCCAAAATGAAAGCATCCGTCTTCCTCTCAGCCCCACTGTGTACCCTCCAGAAAATTAGCTCATCCTGATGGAACGTGGAGGTGAAGAGGCTGCTCACTTTGAGACGGTCTGTGGTCTACACTGGCGGAGCTGTTGTTGCTCATGGTTTTACACTCTTCCGATGGAATTTTCCATCTGGGTATTTTGTCATCTTTTGTTTTCTTACTGTAACACAAATTCTCCACTGACTTTGCTGTTGGTCTGGATGGTGAGGTCTGTGTATTGGGGGCCTGCTGTTTGTTCCTGCTGTCACCAGTGTGGGCCGCCCCCCAGTATCCTGCTCCTGCTCAGGGACTGGAGGAAAGTTTCACGGGTTGCCCCTCTGCTAGGAAAACCTTCAGATGTTCTGTCCATCCAACTGTAGCAAAGAGGGTCCACGTCTCTCCTCCCCACCCTTCACCCAGTGTCCGGGAAGGAACACCCTGTGCAGCATGTCTTCCCCCAGGAATCACACCTCAGGGCAGGATGTGTGCTCCTTCCCAACCACACCTCTGGCTCTTGTTATTTCCATACACCGAGTAACTCTTCCATTTGGGTCTAGGCCCCCTGTCCCCAGGCTGTTGGGTTCTCCCCTGACGGCAAACAATGTCTGTTTGATTCTCCGCCGTGTCCCCAGCACCTCGTCTTGTGCTGGTGCTCAGTGCACATCTGGAATGAAGGAGAGCATTCTCCCTCCTGAGGCTGCTGCTTCCCGGCCACGGGGCACCTTTCAGGGCCACGTGCTTTGGGCTTTTCCCATAGTTGCAGGCGGTCCTGGGAGCCTCCTACTTACCAGCCTCAGAGGTATGGGATTAGCAGCCCTCTGAGAATAAAAATCTAGTTGACCTCAGCCTGCAGAGTGCCCGAGGTGGGAGACGCAGCCCTTGGGGTGGCCAAGGCGAGTTTCCTCTGTAACTTACAAATCTCCCTCTTAGGAGGAAACACCTGCTCAGAATGCCACAGTGAAAACAATAGCAGTAGCTCGCCTTTCATTTTTGTGTGTGAGAGAGTGGGTGTAGTCAACACTGTAGAAAAAAGAAATGTAAAATGAACATCAGACATTTGTTTGTTTGTTTTTTTTATCCTCACCCGAGGACATTTTTTCATTTTTTGTTCAGATAGAGTGGGAGGGAGGGAGGGAGGGAGAAAGAAACATCGACGTGAAAGGGACACATCGAGTGGCTGCCACCCGCACGACCAACCAGGGCCGGGGACAAACTGCAACCTCGGTACGTGCCCTTAGCGGGAACCGAACCCGGGTCTCTCTGGACCACAGGCCGACGCTCTCACAGCTGAGCCAAACTGGCCAGGGCTACATCAGACATTCTTTATGTTCCTTAACTCCTTTCTTGATCCTTATCGGGTCACCTGAGTACCCTCGTGTGGGTGTGGCTTGCCCCGTACTTTGCTTCACATTATTTCTACGTTTATGATCGCTGCATGTACGTGTTTCCACGTGTTGCTGGTTCACGTACTTTTTCTGTTTCGCTTTTCTGAAACGCAATCCTTTAATTTCACCGACAGTCTTGGCCACCTCTGTAAACAGCTGACAGCGCTACCATGTCTGAGTGAACAACACTTCGGCCAGTCTCCTCTTAGAGAGCATTGAAGTTCTGTTCTTTTTTAATTTCTCAAAGAAACCTCACACACTGTTGCACTGAACACCCTCAACTAAAATTGTGTTTACAGGCTGGAGTTTGTCTTCAGGAGAAATTCCTGACTTTGGAAATGCTGGGTCAAAGAATAGGAACGCCAAAAATTTAATTATCCTCCAAAATCATTTCCAGAATGGTGGTGTCAACTCACACACGCGTCAGTCACCTGTTCATTGTCACAGGCGACACGCTGTTGTGGGTGTAGGTGAGCTGTGGTTTGCTTTGCCATTTTCCCGTTATTGAGACTGTGAGTTAGTTCCCATGTTTTAGGCTGTCACTTTTTAAATATGTGTTAATTGATTTGAGAGAGAGGGAGAGAGAGAGCGAAACATCGATGAGAGAAGACATTGTTGGGCCACCTCCTGCATGCCCCCTACTAGGCATTGAGCCCACAACCTGGACATGTGCCCTGACCGGTAATTGAACCAGCAGCCTCCTGGTACTTGGGACAACACTCAACCAACTGAGCCACTAGGCTGTCATTTTTTATCTTTGCTAGTTGTAAGGTTACCTTAGTTTTTCAAATTTCCTAATATTTGAGTTTTGTACTTTTGAATACTTACTGGTTAGGTAGAAGCAGGCAATATTTCATCACGATTGTTTTCCATATGATGCAGACAAGAAAACCAAGGCCACGCAGGGTAAATGTTTTGCCCAGAACTACACTCTTAAAGGCAGAGCATCTCCTGTCCCCCTGCAGAGCGCTCTCCCTCTGCGCATGCTCGGGAGAGGACACTGTCCCAGCCCCTCGGAGCCTCAGTAGTTGGAGGTATGCCAGCTGTGACTCGCTCTGTTCGGAGCTCAGAGTTCCCTCCATGACCTACTGCAGCCCTGGCGCGAGGGGTGATGTCGCTGACTGGCCCTGGCGGGGCTGGGCACCGAGCTGGCGATCCCATGGGCAGAGGTGCAGGGCCATCCGTTGTCCAGCTGTCTCCTCCTCCTTCAGTTCTCAGAGCTCTGTTTTGCCAGCCCGTTGGCTCGAGGCTACGCGGTCTGTGGCAAGGAACCGACTGGCGCTGCACTGCCTCCTATGCCGGGGGTTTAACTTGGGTTCCTTGGCTCAGTGACATGGTCTCCAACCACTGGAATTTATCAGCCACAAGTTTCTAGGAAATGCAAATGAAGGGCCTGGAAAGAAATGCAGGAGGGTTTGTAAGAGGAAGACACGAGGATGAGCTTCCTCTGTAGGCTTCCGGAGGGGAGGGGTCCGTGGGCAGTAGCAACGGAGCCAGTGTCAGGAGGCTAGCCCTTCTCGGCCCAGGCAGACACCGGGGAAGTGACGGCCTGCACAGACATTGTTCTCAGGAGGATAAGGGGTCTGCTACTGGAATGTACAGTCTGCAGGGCAGAACAGGAGGCTGGAAATGCTCCGGTGCCCGTTCCCTGCCCTCTCCCCTCCAAACCCAGAGCTCAGGACCTGGGTTTCTCAGGCCCCCACTGTGGCACCCCACTTAGAGACCTGGGAGCTAAACTTGCAGATCCTCCATGTAACCTGTCGTATATGTAGATATGGTTCTGGTTAGCCCATACACGTAATTCAGAATAGAGTGAGAATGACGGATAGGAAACATTTTACAATTTAAATGAAATGCTGCGAAACCCAGAGAAATCTCTACTTGATGGAATATGAGGCAAATCCTTGAGATACGGGTCCTTTCCCCTTAAGACTTCTGTACCCTACCTGTAAACTAACAGTCAGCAACTTGGCTTTTTTTTTCTGATATCTGTCAATTCTCTCTACATTGGACTCTCTCAGTCAACTCAAAATGCCGTGTGTCTTTCCTGGGACCCCAGTAGATGGCATTGTCTCTAGGGGGGACACCATTGCTCTCCAGAAGCCCCTTCCCTTCATGGATCCCACGAAGCTGTGTCTTCTGTCCTCCCTCTGCAGGCTCCGACGAGGAATACATTTACATGAACAAAGTGACAGTCGACAAGCAGCAGAATGCTGAGTCCCAAGACAAAGGTATGGGGCCGGGGCTGCTGGCGGCCTGGTCCGCTCCCAGGAGAGGGGGAGGTGTGAACTTTGGTCCCCTCCCAGCCCTCCGTCCTCCCCGCCAGCCCCACAGACGGGCCTGCTGGGGACATTTTTGGAAATCACATTTTGGTGGATGGTATTTTGGGTTGATGTATTTTGGGATGTTTCATCAGGCCACCTCCTTGCCTCTTTAAGGTCTCGCGTCCCCCTCATGGATAAGGAATTTGTTCCCAAATCTCTCAGCTCTTCCCGGCATTGGCCCAGGAATAGGAAGTCATAACTCAGATGTTTGGGGAAAGCAGCTGGGGAAGGTGCTGATTCCGCGGTTCCAGCTTCACGTCTTTGACAGAGTCTGGATTTTGTGCGGGGGGAGGGCGCGGGGGCAGGAAGTGGGCATGTCAGCAGCCACCTTCACATCAACGCTTATTTCAAAGGCGTTCTCGCTGGAGAATGTTTTGTCTTCCCCTGGAAGAACGTGGTGAGTCTTCCACGCTGTCTCGGTCTCTTCTCAGTTCCACTTGCTACTTTTTCTTCTGAAAACCCCAGGAGTGGCGCTGGCAGACCCCCGGAGGCCTGGAGGTCCGCAGGCTGCCTCGCTGTGGAAAAGGGGGCGTTAGAAGCCCCGTCTCCCAACTGCCTGTTACCCAAATACAAAGGCTTAGAGAGAGGTGGAGACGGCGCCCCAGAGCCCTTGGTCCTATTAAAAGCTTGGCTTCTGAACATCAGCCACCAAAGCCCCGACGCCAGGTCTGCTTGTGCCCGGCTGTCCCAGGGCCACCAGCCGAAGTGGTCAGACACAGAAGAGGCTTCGGTGCCTTTTTCTTAAGAGCCACGGGGCGTGGAGGTCGAGCTCCTCAGTGCGACTCCCCATCCCCTGCCCCCTCGCCAAGCCTGGGCCTCAGCAGAACCCGTCGGTGCGGACACAGCCACTGCGCCCAGGGCCGTTGGCCTTCCTGTTGAACTGTGGGAAGGAAGGAGCCGTAATCACAGGGTGGGAGCTGAGTGAGGCTCAATATAGTGACCACAGGGCAGCAGGAGCTCTGTGGCGAGGCCGTTTTTGACACGGGGCAGGTGGAGGAGAGGGTGCCAGCCTGCCAGAAACCCAAACCAGCTCCCTCCGAGGATCTGTGGCAGGGGCACCGCTGCACCCTATTCCTGGAGGAAAAACAACATGGGCTCCAGGGCCCAGCTGCCCGTGTAATTAACACCTGCTCAAATAGAACTCCCGGCGCACGTGACCGACATTCCTGGGTAATGAGAGCCTGCTGGGAGGCTGGGCACCCCTCACCGAGCCGTCTGCTTGCTGCCCACAGCGCCCGAGGAGCAGAACCCACTGGCCAACGGGGAGCTGCGCCAGCTGTCCACGGCCCCGCAGAAGAGTCTCCCGGACCTCCCGCCCCCCAAGATCGTAAGTGTGGGTCCAAGACCCCTGACTTCCCTGACTTGAGCCCCATGAACTTGCAGTTTTGTCACAGGTACCAGTCCGCCACATAGCTGGCATTTTCGGAGTCCCTACTGTGTGTCAGGCGTGGGGCAAGGCACTGGGAGAGGCGGCAAGAGTAAGCGTGTGTGCAGGTGACATTTTGCTCAGGGCCACGGTACTAGGATGCTAAGAGTCATGGAAGTGGGCGATGAGGGAGATCACCTTTAGCAAGTGCCACGATGTATCCGAGGCCACGGCAGGCTTTTTACCCAGCATCCTGTGGGGCCATGTCCAGCTGTGGTCACCAACTCAGGCCACAAGGAACTTTGAGAATTGTTCGTCACATCCCTGTACTTGGGAGAAACGGTAGCTCTCTCTGAACTTAGAAACATCCACGTTTGTTAAGGTGGCCCCAGGGCCTACCCAGTGTGGCCCAGCTGCGTTCCAGCCTCCTCGCTGGTGCTCGTCACTGTGCTTGTACCACATGGTGGATCCTGCCTCAGGGCCTTTGCACTTCCTGGGCCTGGCTTTTCAATGGCTGCTGCCTCCCCATCTCTTAGATAGACTTTCCCTGACCTGCCTACGTCAGGCCTCCCACCTCCATCCCACCCCAGTTACTGTCTGTCCCACTGTCCAGTCACCACCATGGCACGTGCCACCTTTGAAGTGACCTTATGTATTATGTCTCCCAAACCAGGCATAAGCTCCTTAGGACAGGGACTCTTATTTAGTGATTAGTGTCCATGTCTGCACACTGTGCACCACACACATGTGAATGAATGGAAGGTAGCACGGACTTACAGAATCAGGCCTGGGTTCAGATCCCAGCTCTGCCGGGTGCTAGCTCTTTGACCTTGAGCAAGTTATGCAGGTCTCTGGCTCCTGTTTCCTGGTGTCTAAATGAAAGGAATGTGAAATTCTCTGTCATGAGCGTCTCATGCGGTGGCCTGAGGCTGTGCGTGGCCTGCTACGTTAGTATCCCGTGAGGTGGGCAGTGGTGCGTGGCCTGCCACGTTAGTATCCCGCGAGGTGGGCAGTGGTGCGTGACCTGCCACGTTAGTATCCCGCGAGGTGGGCAGTGGTGCGTGGCCTGCCACGTTAGTATCCCGCGAGGTGGGCAGTGGTGTGTGACCTGCCACGTTAGTATCCCGCGAGGTGGGCAGTGGTGCGTGGCCTGCCACGTTAGTATCCCGCGAGGTGGGCAGTGGTGCGTGGCCTGCCACGTTAGTATCCCGCGAGGTGGGCAGTGGTGCGTGGCCTGCCACGTTAGTATCCCGCGAGGTGGGCAGTGGTGTTTACGTCTTATGGGTGAGGAGCCTGGATCAGCAGGTTTGGGACATCTGAGCGTCACCAGCCTCTAAGTGGCAGAGCCAGAACTTGCCCCCGAGTTTGTTCTTCTATGGGAGCTGGTTGGGGTGGCCTCCTCGAGAGGTATGAGGTGAGGGGGGAAGGAGGTCTGTGAGTCAGGGGCCCTAGGGACCAGCAGGAAGCTGTGTGGCGCCACGGACACCGAGCTCCCTCCAAGCCATCCATCGAGGTCTGCGGGCGGAGGTCACTGCTGAGGGGTCTTGACCCCAGGGCTGCCCCTTTCATCCATGCTTCCTGAGGGGTGGCAGGCTCTCCTAGACCACACTGACGGGACCTGGAGCGCTTGGGACCCTGTCCCACTGCACGAGGCTCCTTGGGTTGAGTGAGACAGGTGGACTGAGCCTGCGTCCCTGGGTGTCCCCACTCCACAGACAACTCTGGGGACTGCCCCACCCTGGTGCACACAGGCAGTGTCCTCACCCGCCGTGAAGGAGTGCCTATTTTTGCAAGTTCTTCATAAGAAGAAGCAGAGGCTCAGGGAGTGAAAACAACGGCACGATCCCTCCCCTGGGTGGTGGCAGAGCCACCACCGAGCGTGGCCCTTGGTGTCCCGGCCACTCCGCGGCCTCCCGGACCTGGCCGGTTTTCTTAGCAGAGCAAAGGCACCGGTTCCGTTCCTCCCAGAAAGCTCCTCCCTCTCTGCCCAGGACACGGGGGAGACGGCGCGTCCCTCTGCTCTCAATAGCTGTAGCCCCGTGGGCGGGCGCGTCCAGGTCCCACGTGCTGGGTGGCGGGGACGAGAGGGGCTGCTCCGGGCCAGCGGGCACCTTCCCACCCTCAATTCAGCATCTGCTTTTGCCACTGTGGCCCTTCCTGGGGCAGGAGTTCGTGGGTCAACGCCTGGCACCCTGTGGATGGGCTGACGTGCCCTGGGACGCTGTCCCTCACACGGTGGCGGGCTGAGAGGCCCCGGTCCGGGACTGGCCGCAGGGAGAAAGCAGTCAGGTCGCACGAGTCCCGGCAGCCCGGGGGTTCTGGTGCTGGAGTTTCCTCGTCCTTTGCCAGGCACCCGGCGTGGGCCCAGAGGCCCCCGGCCTGGGATGTGAGGAGCAGGGCCTGACAGCAAGGCAGGGTGGCTCAGGCCTGGAGAGGCCCGGTCGGCGTTGGAGAGAAGTTGGGGGAAATATCACCACCCAAGAAGAACACATCCCGGGGTGGCCTTCTGACGTGTGGCGATCGTTCCTGTGCACACACTCCAGGCCCTGGGGAGGGTTCCAGCCAAGCAGCTGACCTCAGTCTTCCCTCCTTGTGGGACCTCTCTGCTGGGACAGGGAGGGCTCACTCCCTGTTCTAGGTCTTTCCCAGGTCTGTCCTGGGCACCCCCCCAGGGAGCCTCTGGATGCGGAGTTTAAAGGCGTGCTGGCACAGTCCGGGGTCCCCCACCCCTGCATGCTCACACACGGCCGCTGCCCCTCAGGCCTCCTCTCCTGTCACGTCTGGCCCAAGGAGCCGTCACGCTCAGAGTGGTGTCAGGGCAGGGGACAGCCGAGGCTCGGCTCTGAGGAGTGGGGGGAGGACCTGAGCAGCAGCCGCAGTTTGGGAGCATGAGCGTGCAGTGACCCTGGGACCTCTGCTTCACACAGAGGAAGCCTCACCCCTTCCCACCCTGACCCCAGAGCTTCAGGGCACCATCGTCCAGCCCCAGGCTCCCAGCGGCGGCGGCGGCTGGATGTCTGCCTCAGGTTTGAGGTCCTCCATGCCTGTGTCCGGGCCACGGGTATGGCCTCTGCCCCAGGCTCGGGGTGTCCTGGTTCTCGCTGGCGGCCTGGGCCCTCCTGAGTCACTGGACAGCAGACCTGACCGGCATCAGGAGGGTCAGCCAGGGGTCTGGAGCAGCCTCGTGGGTGTGGCCAGTGACTCAGGCAGCTGTGGTGCTTCCAGGCCGCTGGCCACACGGCCAGGTGCTGTGGTCTCTGCAGGAGAAGCAGATGTGTGCTGGCCCCGCTACGCTCCTGGCTAGCACAGCCATCTCCACCCCCCTCCCCTAAGGGGCCTGACACGCATTGCTCTTGGGGAGGCAGCAGCTCACTGCACAGAGGACATCGCCAGTTGGTCTGGGGACCGTCCACCGTGCTCTCGGGGGCAGGTGGCTCGGACGCGGGGCTACGGCAGGCCGTCTGGGCCACGTGGGCCGGCCCTGTCCTGCAGCCCTGAGCTCAGTCGGCATCGGCGGACGATGGCCCCCTGGCCAACCCCACAGCCGCCTGCGTTTTGCAAGGCGAGTCGTCCTGCAGCACAGCCTCCCCGACTGCGCTTCGTGTCACCTGTGGACACCCCTGCCCTGCAGCAGCTGACCTGGCCAGCTGAGATCGGACACCCTGCGCGGCCTGCATCTGCTGTTTGGCCCTCTGCCGACCTCTGGTGGTTTCCTTCCCTGTCCCTTCCCGTGGGCCTTCGGAAAGGTCTTGAAGTCCCATCTCTCCTGCATCTTCATTTAACAATGCTGCTGCTGCTGCTGCTGATGATGATGATGATGATGAAAATGATAGTTCTTTATTCTCAACCTGGGCGATCAGGATCCCTTGCTCCCTGGGCCTCTGATATAGGCCGTTGCGTCAGTGGGATGACGGGGCTCTCTTCGGAACTATGGAAATCGTTTTACTTTTTAACTTGACCCAGAGTCTTCCCTTTTGCAGCAGGCCTAAGAGCAGGGACTGTCTTCTTGAATCCTCACCCGAGGACGTGTGTATTGATTTTAGAGAGAGGAAGAGGAGGAGAGAAATGTTGATGTGAGAGAGAAACATCAGTCGGTTGCCTCCCGTGTGCTCCCCAACTGGGGATCAAACCCGAGAGCTAGGTATGTGCCCTGACTGGGAATCGAACCCGCAACCTTCTTTTGGTGTACTGGATGACATTCCAACCAACTGAGCCCCCAGCCGGGACAGGGACTGTCTTCTTTAGAGAGACAGAGCTTGGTATAAGCCTAGTCAAGCCCAGAGTCCCCTCTCTCCCCAGGGTACATCTGTTCTTCTGCCCTCTGACATGTACATAGCCACTTTTCTCCCTTTGATACTTTTCTATTTTATTTTTAGGTTATTAAAGTTAATATATATTAAGTATTTAATAATGCTGAGCCCAGTTTAATCCTCACAGTAATCCCCTCTGAGAGATGTTTCTACTCTCTCTCCCCATTTTACAGCAGAGGAACTAAGACCCAGAGAGGTCAAGTAAGTTGCCCAGGGTCACACAGCTCAGATGTGCCAGTGTTAGGATTCAAACCCCAGCCCCAGAGGTCGGATTCCAACCACTGCCCTGTCCATACTGCCTGTCCCTGTAACCATCCATTTATAGGCGATTTTACAGTGAGAGGCTTGTACAAAACACTCCCTGGTGCCCGCCCCCAGACAGGACAGTAGGGCCCGAGTGGTGGTAATGAGCAGGATGAGCTCCTCAGAAGGCTCCGATCCCCCTTTGTCCTGTTCTAATCGCAGGATCTGGACTGGTGCCGGATCTTGGGTGCTTGGAGCCTCTCTCCCGATAGGATCCACCTCCTCGCCAAGAGGATGGTCCCAGCTCCACTTGATGGGAGTGGGGTTTCGTGGAGGCTGGAGCCGGAGGCCCGGCCAGGTCAAAAGCATGAGCCCCAGGACCCACGTGCGGAGACCTTGATGCTGCCCGGGTGAGGGGACAGTCTCCCCTCGGAGAAGCTGGCTCTCAGAGGACCACAGCTGAGTCTCTTGAGCAGCTCTTCTCAGGCTGACAAGGGGCCAAGAATGGCCAAGAGGAGCAGAGATGTCTGGCCAGGCTCGTGGCAGCAAAGGTGAAAGGTCACCCACTAGCAGCAGTGTCCACTGTGCAAGGCCCCAGCCTCGCGGAGGGAGCCCGGCCGGGGGTGCCACTCACAGCCGAGCCCCTCAGCAGCCACACCGGCCAGCCCGGGGCAGCAGCTGGACTGCTCGGGAAAGGAACAGATGACGCTGTGCCCTCCTGCACGCTGCGTGAAAGCTGGTCAGAGCCTGCCGCCGGGACTTGTATCAGCTCTCGGTGTGAGGCAGACGAAGTTTCAAGGATCCTGTGTCGGGCCCAGGTGGGAGCCTGGCCTCTGCGGACCCTCCTCCTGTGGCCCCGTCTCCTTGTCAAGACAGCAATCCAGTTACCTGCTCCTGCAGACCCCTGGGTTATGGAGACCCAGATAATGACCACAACCTCCTTGTAGTTGATACGGGCCAGGCCCTGCAAACACCGTCAAGTTTTATCTCGCTGAATCCCCAGTACTGTTCTTGTTTTACAGAGAGGGAATGTCCGGCTCAGAGAGGCTGCCCCAGACCCACGGGCAAATCTGTGGAGTCCTAAAGCCTGGATTCAAACCCAGCACAGTCACTCCGAAGTTCATATAAATAGACTTTAGATGCCAAGCCGCATCTACAGGACTCAGCCCAGGGGACCGTGGTTTTGGTGAAGCCACCGCAGGAGAAGTCCTCTGCCCTGGGGGAAGCGGGAGGGGTCACTCTTGCAGCTGTGCTGAGGACCATTCCACGGGGACCCGAACCCAGGCTGGCTGTCTGGGCTCAGGGCCCTCCGGGGTCCTTCTTCTGGTTGCCTCCTCTTTGGGGTACCCCACCCAGCTCCTTTACCTTAAGAGCCTTCCTTTGCTGTCGCTTGGAGCTCCCCAAAGGCTGAGACCTGCCCCCCTCAGGTAGACTTCTCAAAACCAGGGATGGAAAGACTTCAGACTTGGCCATTTCTGAATATTCCCCTGGCCCCCCTCAGGGGTTTCATGATTCAGAAAGAACTGGAGACGCATGTGAGTGGAGGCTCGTACGTTTATGACCTGTAGCAGAAATAGTCATGCAACAATCTGTCTTTTTTTCCTCCCCTGCAACTGCTTATAAGATCAGCTACGTGTTCTGGTGCCCATGTTACATGTGGAATAATGGAGGCATAGAGGCGATCATGCTCCACGCTTTTACACGGTTGAATGTGTTTTTTTATTCCATTCAAAGTGTGCTCACTCCACCCCCGTGCCACCTGAGAATCTCAGCTCAAAGGTCCTGTCCTCTGGGCATCCTTCCTTGGTCCTCCGTGTTCCTCACACCCTCCTGGTTCCCACCGAACTCTGACCTTGTCTGTTAGAGCACTGTCCCGATGCACTTGATCAGGGCTGTGCGCATTCACTGCCTGGTTCAGTCTCTAGGACCGACTCCTGACCGCCGGGGTGCGCCCCTCGCAGCTCGTACGCGGTCGGCGTTCAGTATTTGCCAAATGAATGATTGAACTTATCATGGTAAACTTTCTGAATCCTGAGAAACCGGGTCATCCGTGTGTCTGACTAGCCCTTGTCGTTTTGGAAAGTATATTCTGTTCAGAAGCCGCCCTAGCTCCCCGACAGCCTGACGCCACCTGGACGTCGTGGGCTCTGCGTCACGTGCGTCGCGACGATTGTGTGCGCCTTGGGTCTGAGCCTCGCCTTGCAGAGGAGGAAGCTGAGGCTCGGGGGGTTGAGTGATGAGCCCACAGCCTTCACGGGACTCCGTGCAGACGCAGCGGACGTGGTCCTGGTGTCCACGTCCTCCCTCCCGACGTGCTTGAAGTCCAACCGAGCAGTTTTTCTTCCTGGGCGTCTTCCCCTCCTCCCACCCACAGGGTTCATTCAAGCGGTTGCCAGTGTTTCGTGTCTGAAAAATGTCTGTTTTCTTTGTTCATACCACAGATTCCAGAACGGAAACGGCTGTCCGTCCCGAAGGTCGAGTCTCCAGAGGGCTACTATGAAGAGGCTGAGCCCTATGACACGTCCCTCAACGGTACATCCCGGGGCCGGGGGTCAGAGAGAGTGCGGTGCTTCCTGCCCAGAGGTGCTGCTGCCAGCAGAGGACAGCAGGGCTTGGGCTGAGACCTGGCCATGGAGCACGAGCCTGTCCGGTGGGGAGCTGACATCTGGAGCAGGTGCTGGGCTCAGGCTGAGACCTGGGCAAGCAGAGGACAGCAGGGCTCGGGCTGAGACCTGGGCAAGCAGAGGACAGCAGGGCTCGGGCTGAGACCTGGCCACGGAGCACGAGCCTGTCCGGGTGCGGAGCTGACATCTGGAGCAGACCCAGCCACCTGCAGGGAGGGGCCGGTTTGATGCTCCTGGTGTTCCCACCTGGATGTTGCTGCATCCAGCACAGAGATGTGTCAGATGGGCGGTGTGCTGGCTGAGGGGGCGGGCCCTCGGGACCCAGGGAAGTATGGTCCGGCTGAGTCAGGGCTCAGTTTCCAGGGTTCTTTCACTGGACTGATAGTTACTGTCCTTCCTGAGTGCCAAGGGCACTCCTAGGGGTCGGAATCAGAGTGCGCCAAGCTCAGCAGCCATGGCCGGTGGGTTCTGTGTGAAGAGACAACAGACAGACATGTGTCAGCTGGTGACAATGATGGCAAACAGCAGGGCCTGGGTTGGGGCAGGAGAGGGGTGGTGTTTTAGATAGGGAAGGCCTCTCTGATCGCGTGCCCTTGAGTGACGTGGGGAATGGGCAGGACAGAGAACCGCAGGGAGAACTTTCCTGACAGCATAGTACATGCAAAGGCCCTGAGGCAGGAGAGCGCCTGGCTCATCTGTGGACTCGCGAGGAGGCCAGTGTAGCAGGAGCAGGTGAGGTGGGTGGAAGGGAGAAACAGGAGATGGGAATACAGAAGTCCACTGCAGGCCATGGTGAGGACTTTGGCTTCTCTCTGAATGAGACCGGAGGGTTCCTTGGTGGCTGACCTAACTTAGGTATTTAAAAGATCATCTGTGCTGTGGGGGCAGGGCTCACACTGGAGCCATCTGTCCCTGGACGGTGGTCTCAGCCCGAGGAAGTCAGATCAGAAATGCTCTTGGAGTTGGAATTGTGGAACATAGACAGGCCCCCGAGGTCCTAGAAGGAAGAGATGGTTGTGACCCACTGTCCCAGGCAGCTGGACCTCTCTCTCTGCCCTCTGCCCCCCTTCCCTTTCCTTCCTTCGTAATGAAAGGTCTTGGAAAGCGTAAAGCAGTTTGCAAATGGAAGAGATGAGGGCCCCTGGTGGCATTGAAGGGGGGCATTGTTGGTTCCACAAAGAACGGATCAAGGATGAGATGGGACCAGTCCCTTGGTGCAGGGAGGATTCTCCGTCTCACACTCCCCTGCTGCCCCGGCCCCGGGAACTGTGTGGGAGGTGAGGGCCTGTTTGTCTGAGGTTATTTTCCTCTAAGAGGCTGGCTTGGTGGGCAGATGTCACTTAGCTCGAATCCACTGAGCGTGCGAGATGTTTTGGGGTCACCAGCCGAGCTGTGATTTCAGACCGAAGCTGTGGGCGTGTAGCTCCCATCTGGCCGCGTCTGGAAGGAGGAAGGAGTGACTCACTGTGGTGGGCACCTCACTGGATCTTCAGCCTGGGGCTCTCCTGGGTGTGGCTTGTGCCAGCCAGAGCCTGTCTGCAGGGCAGACGAGACGTCGTGACACAAACAAGTCGTCAGAAGGACCTGAGCTTCTCGCTGTCCATCTCTGGACTATGGATTCATATTGGTTTAGCCAAGCTGGGGCCAGGGGTCACCACAAGGGCAGCACAAGGGTCGGGAAGGTGCCGATTGCCTTTGTCCCCTGCCAAGGACCGAAGGCGACCTGGGCAGAGCCGGCCACCCTTGCCGTGCCGGGGGGCTTCGCCTATAACATAAGCCAGTCTGCTCTCGGTTTCTGTCTGTCGTCCCCAGCCTGTTTGAGTAGTGGGACATGCAGGAGGAATGGCCGTGGGGCTTCAGCCCCCGGCTCTCGTTCATTGGCTAACAGCCATTTCGCCGACTCCCTGCCAATGACCAGTCTTGGTTTCCTGTCCTGCTGTCGGCACTGTCTCCGCACTGCCCCCAGGGTCTGATCCTCTCTCCCAGGAAAAAAGTGCCTGATGGCCCATGCAGGGGACAGTAGTGTCTGTCCAGCTCCCGCATTGATGATGTCTCCGGTTGGGGTCATGACAGCTGCTGTAACGAGTTGCCCCTTTCAGCTCATGGAGCAGCAATACCAGTCTGCTGCTCACCCACGGACGGGTCAGTGTGGTATTGCTGGTCAGCAGGTAGTGCGGGCTCCCGGCTCCTTCTAGCGTGAGGTCGGCCACCTCCGAGGCCACAGCATCCTCTGCAGAGCGTGGAGAACCCTGCGTGCTTCTGAGAAGCGCCGGCCAGGAGCAGCGCACATTGCTCCTGCCCCCGTTCCCCTGGGGGCGCGTCGGCTCAGGACGTGAGGGCTGGGAAACAAAGTCACGGCCGGCCTGGGGCCTGTCCTGACAAGCCCACACCTCCGGGGGATGGGAAGGCACCAGCTTCGGGTGGCGGGCTGCCCTTCTGCCTCGTCCGGGTCTCTCTCTTCACCTTGTCTCTCTGTCTTGCCTTTGTCTGTGCTTCTGGGCATCACACAGGTCATCCTGGCAGAGCTCCCCTCACTGGACTCCCCAGATGGGTGCAGGTGCCTGAAGGAGTCATTTACGCCACCATCACCTTGGGTATTGCTTGTCCCCAGAGCTGGGGTGCCAGTGATTCCGTGCCTGCTGCCTGGCTCTGCGACCGGGTGCATGCGCCCGCGTGGCCACCGTGCCTGCCCTCGTGCCTGGGCCCCGCATGCCTGGGTCCTCCTTCCACAGACCCTGCCTGTGACCTCGAGCGCATGGCTGGAGGACTCCCCGCTGCTTGGTCGTTCCGTCCTCTGCTCCCCAGGGCAGGTTACAGGAGCAGTGGGGACAGCAGAAAGTGGGGATGGAATTATCTGAGGAGTCTGCTTTCACTCCTGTTCCCCTGTGGCCCCGGAAGCCAAGTTCCTGTTTTAAGAACACCCTGCATTTATGGAGGTGCTGCGGTCGCCCTTTAGGGAGAAAGAAGATGTAGGCTTTTGCCCCAAATTTCCTCCAGGCTGCACCAGGTGGCTAAGTGCTTGGATGTGCTGTTTCTTCTCAGTGAGCTTCCTCCTGGCCCCCGGAGCTGGACGGGCAGGTGTTCGATTCTCCCTGGAACAGGCGGGGCCGCCCCAGAATCAGAGTGCAGGGGGACTTGCCAGTTCCTTCACACGGGCCTCCGGAGCCTCCCGTGTGCACTTCTGTCCCTGCAGGAGAGGTCCCAATGGCATCGCCTCATTCTCCGTCCTGCGCGTATTGCACGGATAACACTGACCATGAGGACCTTTCCCAAATAAAATCACCCTCCCCCTGCCGGCAGATCAAATCAGCTGTTCTGAATTCTTCCCGTTGACCTTCAGTGCTGGTCTGTTTGCACAGAGAAATGTTTTTATATATATATATTTGAATTGAACCTTTTATAAAAGTGCAGAAATGTCTCTCCAGTCCCCGTGTCCTCGGCGCCGTGGCTGGGGCTGGCCCGTGTCCCTCTCCCACCTCAGCACTGTGACGCCAGCCCCATCGGGCAGCCCGCTCCCTTCTGTCCCCTCCTCCTCGGACCGTTAGACACAGGCCGCAGGATGGAGCGCCAGGCTTCCACTAGCATCTTATTTTCTAGTAGCTGGGGAGGGAGGAGGGTAGCAAGGTAAACTACCACCTGGCCAGCCTCTCTGCCACCACCTGGCCCTCTTTTCCGGCCACCTCGAGCTTTTTCCCTGGTCCCTGAGTCAGGAAGGCCCTTTAGTCTCCTGTACTTCTGAACGTCTTGTGTTATGGTCTTATTATATTTAAAGCAAAGATTTTCATTTTCCCTTCAGGCCGCTGCATGTTTTGTTTACACATGCATTGTAAGACGTCCAGTGGAAGAATTGTAATTGCTTTCTTTTTTTTTTTCTTTATTGATTTTTAGAAAGGAGGGGAGATGGAGAGAGAGAGAGAGAGAGAGACAGACATCAATGAGAGAGAACATTAGTTGGCCATCTCCTGCATGCCCCTGACTGGGGATCAGGCCCACAACCTGGGCATGTGCCCTGACCAGGACTCGAACCAGCAACCTCTTGGTGCACGAGTCGACGCTCAACCACTGAGCCACACCGGCTGGGCTGTAATTGCTTTCTTTATCAGTCTCTCTCCAGTCTCTAGTTTTCGCCCCTTGAGGAGGCAAACACCAGGCCTACCAAATTACATAATGTATCGACTTGACCAAATAAATGCTATTTGGGGGAAAATACGAAAGTATGAGTAAGTGCTGATTATTCCAATAGAAATACATTGGAAATAAAGGATAGAATTCAGAGGGAGCAGTGTGAACAGAAGCTTCCAGGATGAAAGGACAATGTAAACAATAGCATGTGCTCTGGGGAAATGGAAAATGCGGCGGGATGTTTGCGTCCACAAAGGTGGCACACAGGGAATTTTCGAGGTGCTTTCTCGCTTGCCCTCGGATTCTCCGAGTTTCCCTGTAACCCCCGGAGGTGGGCGGGCGGGTGTTGCTCAACTTTCCGCATGCATGCTCCTGAGTGGATAACATCGCACATCCCCTAGGACGTGCTGAGTTGCTTGAATTAATGTCTCAATGCATGTCGACCTCCCCCTCCCTTCCTTCTTTAAAAACTAGTTTCCTAGCATAAGCTCCCAGGCCCGGGATTACTGGGTCACAGGGTGCTTTTATGGCCCTTGAAACCGCGCAGGCTGCCAGACTGTTTTCTGAGAGGCTCGGGCTGACTGGCATGGCCCCCAGCAATGGGCGCGCGGGCCCCCCACTGGGAGCACCCGTTTTCCATGTCTGCCTGTTTGATAGGTATAAAGTTATGAACTGCGCAACATTGTTATTAAGTCATGAAGGGGAGGAGTACCACGCTGCTTTTCAAGAAAACTGATACTAAAATATTTAGAGAATTATTTTTAGAAATTGTGTAACAACCTAAAGCACGTTTTCATTGGTGTTGTGGCTAGAATAACTGTGGCAGTGGACTCATTCCGTGGTCTGTGTTCCAATTCAAATATGGTTCCATTTTCTTAGTGTGCAGGCACCTGGCTCTGCAGGTAATAGAAGGGGCTTCTGGGGAGGGGGAGGCAAGGGGCCGATGTGTCCTTTCTGAAGGGTATCCTGGGGAGGAGAGGCTTCATTCACCCTGACTCCATGAGACAGAACGTGTCTGGAGCAGTCGCAGGGAAGTGGATGATGGACCCACTTTCTGACTGTTAGAGCTGCTCAGTGATGGAAGCAGTTGTGAGGTAGTGAGCTCCCTGTCCATTGAGGAATTCAAGCAGAGGCTGGAGCAGCATCAAGGTTACAGTGGAGAGGATTCCTGTGTTGAGCCAGGGATCCTGGTGCTCTCTGTTCTGCCTTTTGGGGTTCCGTTGACGGACTTCTCCTTCACCCAGTTTTGTTGGCCTCGAGTGGCACAGAGGCCACTCTTGAGGACAGAGCGACTCTGGCAGGGCAGAGGGGCAGAGACGGCGTGTAGAGTGGGCATAGGTCTGCATCCCGTTTGTGCTGGTGATCTGGAGTCTTCCGAGTGGAAGGAAAACGTGAGATCGGCGTGTTGCCCGGGGTGGAGGGAGGGGACGAGCAGACAGAGTCAGGCCTGTGCGGGGAGGTGTTCAGTGGGGGGAGAACGCAGTCTGGAGGGTGAGGAGGGATTATTTATAAGGTTATGATGAGGAGGGGTCGCTGAGGAGTGGCAGGATGGCCCTCCCCCAGAAAGCCGTCTCCTGCCATGGTATTTTTGCCCCCCTGCTCCTAGGATTGATCCAGGGACAGAGCAGGCCCAGCCGGGCAGGCAGATGTCAGGGCCTGGCCACGTGCCCGGTTCCGGGCTCACACAGCCCTTCCTCCCAGCCACGGACAGTGAGGGTGCCAGGCTCAGGAGGTCCTCACCCCACTGCTTCGTCCTCAGATGGAGAAACAGAGGCCCTGAGTGGGGATCTGGCGGTCGCCAGAGCCAACGGCCCGTCTGAGGCGGTGTCTGGTCAGGTCTCTCCGGAGTCTGAGGTGACAGGATTGAGGAGGAAAAGGGAAGGACGTCTGGTTTAACGTCATCTGTACATGTGGGCAGAGAGCATCCAAGGAGCTGTGCTCAGGGGGCTTGGGGACCAGGAAGTGCCTGGGTCTGTGGTCAGCAGCGTGGGGCTGGGGCCCGGGGCCGCTGCTGCCTGCTCCCTCCCTTCCGGACAGACCGGCATGTTCAGGAACGTCCCACCCTGCTGGGCGGGACTCGGGGATGTGACCACGGGGTCTGCCTTGCAGAGGATGGAGAGGCCGTGAGCAGCTCCTACGAGTCCTACGACGAGGATGAGAACAGCAAGGGCAAGGTGGCCCCCTACCAGTGGCCCTCCCCCGAGGCCAGCATCGAGCTGATGCGCGACACCCGCATCTGCGCCTTCCTGTGGCGCAAGAAGTGGCTGGGGCAGTGGGCCAAGCAGCTCTGCGTGATCAAGGACACCAGGCTCCTGGTCAGTGGTCTCAGGGCGCGTTCCGGTCCCCCCCCCCCCTTAATCCTCACCCGAGGATTTTTTCCATTGATTTGATTTTCTTGTTTTTAGCTGGAGTAGAAGGGGGGGAGGGAGGTGGAGAGAGAGAGAAACATCAATGGGAAGGCGGCACATTGATTGGCTGCCTCCCGCACGACCCCGACTTGGGACGGGAATCCCCCTGCAACCCTTGACCGGGAACCGAACCCACCACCCTTCAAAGGTCCACGGGCTGATGCTCTAACTGCTGAGCCAAACCAGCCCTGACTAGTCTTCCCTTTTTGGGGGGGAGGGTGTGGTCCCTCATACCAGGTGGTCAAAGCCTTTTGTACCCGATTTTCACCACTCCCTAACCTGAAATTATATATAAAATTTTGCATGTATGAATGTTCCTTTTTTAAATTTTGTTTGTATGGTTCATTATTGCCGAAAATAAACCTCCTCTGATCAAGCTTCCAGGAAAGTGCTTTTCTAGAACTGGAAAAGTCTAGTCGTTTTCATCGGACTCTCGAGGGGGACTGTGGTCACCCCCCCCACCCCCTCACACTTTTTCCAGGAACCTTTTTGTCCCCTGGTCTGAGGGCCCATCTTCCGCCCATCCTGACCACTGCGTTTGTCTGTAGCGTGAAAATCACCGGTTAGGTTGGTATCTTCTCAGAATTTGAATTAGTGATCATAAGACAAGCCCCATAAAGGAATCAGAAGACATTATTCTGACCACAGCCCTGTTTCCTGTTACTTTACATTGTTTTACGTCCTGACTCAAAGTTCTGTGGCACCATTATAACCAGCTCTTCACTGGTTACAGTGTGCCCTGTCCCGTGCAGATGGTCCTTCGGGTGATCCTATTACACAGCCCCGTGGGGACCCCCTTGCAAGAATGAGAAATGGGGGGGGTGGCAGAGTCTTTTCTCCAGGAGGAGAAGAAAGTCCCTTCCTTTCTCCTAACTAAGCGGAGGATAAACTTAGTCTTCCTGCCTTACAGACCCCTGACTGGGGGAGCTGAGCAAGGCATGCAGAGAGGGGGAGACGTGGACAAGCGTGACCCCCCTGGAGGCGACCAAGTTGCCCTCAGAGGACACACTTGAGGCGCCAGCCCAGGCCTGAGAGAGAGAGAGAAGCAGGCCCTGGGCATCCCTGGCTGAGGCCAGAGAGGCTTGGAGGAGAGGGAGCCAGCCTGCCTGGTCTGATGCTGAGACCATGTTGCTGACATTTGAGGTTGCGGTTCTGCACTTGCCCTGGGTGTCTGGCCCTTTGCTTTGTTGGGCAGAGCCCAGAACCATCGGGTCCTGCCGTGCCTGGCGGCCCCTCCTCTGCAGACCCTGGCGAGGCCTGGCACCCCTGCAAAGCAGCATCTGTCTCTTTTCTCCCAGTGTTACAAATCCTCCAAGGACCACAGCCCTCAGCTGGACGTGAACTTGCTGGGCAGCAGCGTGGTCCACAAGGAGAAGCAGGTGCGGAAGAAGGAGCACAAGCTGAAGATCACGCCGATGAACGCCGACGTCATCGTCCTGGGCTTGCAGAGCAAGGACCAGGCTGAGCAGTGGCTCAGGGTGAGGGAGCCCCGGCCACGGGGGCGGGCCTGTCCCCGCGGGGCCCCTGGCTGTCCCCAGAGGGGTGGATGCTGTCGAGGGTTAGGGCTCTGCCACCCAGTTCCCAGGGCCCCCGGTGTTGTAAGTGGCGGCAGCCAGTCAGGGAAGTGATCGCGGACTCCGCTGCCAGCCTCGTGTCCTTCTCAGTCACCTGGACTCGGGCTCTAGTTGAAATTATTTTGTTTTCTGGCCTCTAGTGAGGCACCCCCAGTCTCCTTACTAAAGAACACGCGTGGCTGCCACTTGTTAAATACTTGCCAAGGGCCGTGCACTTTTAACAAACTTAACCGCACAGCAGGGAGCTGGGCCGGGGTACTGTCCCCATCTTGGAATGGAGATGAAAGCTAAGGAGGAGGAGGTGGCCAGTCAAGGTCACCTGGCCAGTATGTGGCAGCATCGGGTTTCAAACCTAGAGCCGTCTGACCACAGTCCTATGTTCTGCCTACACTTACCGTGATGGGGCCCCCAAAATGCAGCACCTGGGAGGGGCCCGCCGGCCCCATATTAAAGATGAGCTTGACGATTCCAGGAGGTGTAAGGTTTGCACCAGGAAGGGGCCCACAGTTGCAGAGGGATCTCCACGCCCAGCAGGTCCATCCCCTCCCCTCCCCCTCCATCACAGCCATGTCGATGCACTTCCAGAGCAGGAACCTTATGTCTGCCCTCATCTGTCACACGCCCATGTGCTTGCATGCACACACACCTGCAGACACACACGGAGACACATGCACACACATTTGCACGGACACACCTGTGCAGACACACACTGCTCTTGCTCCCAGTGGCCAGCACTGTCCTCTGACTGCTCGGGCCCCTTTGTCCTTCCCCTGACTCCAGCTTCCCTCCCCAACTCTCACACCTTCCCCCAGAGACCCCTGCCCTCTCCCCAGTCTTGCTGGTTGAAAGACAAGAACGCTTTGAGAAGAGCCTCGTGCTGGCTTCCTGGAGAAGCCCTTTCCTGGCCGGCAGATGGCGCGGGGGTGGCCTTGGCCGTGAGGGCCTGGCTCTTGGGAGGCCTGCACCCTGCGGCTGGGCGGCGCTGGTCAGCCTGTCCAGTGGGCTCGAGTCTGCCTGCCGGCCCTGACTCCGTGTCTCAGGTCTGCATGGTCCCTCCTGTGCCCGCGGGTTGGGACAGGCACATGACAGTAAGTGGGAGATGAGTTGGGGACAGGAGGCCCAGGAAAGGGAGGAACCGGCACAGCCCTCGCGGAGAAGTGACATCCCCACGCCCTGGAGCCACCACCCGCTCGCGTGCCCCCAGGCGGGCCCCCAGCTGCCGAGGAGGGCAGTGGATGTGCCCCTCCTGCGCTGGGCACTTTACACACCAGACCCAAGGGCGTGTCGGGCATGGGAACTGCCTGGCGTTCCTGTCCCCAGAGCCGTTTTTCTTTTTGCTCTTTGGCTTTTCCGACTTTAACCCCTTTCCATAAACTGCTCTAGGCAGAGACTGATGCAGGAGGGTCTTTGAAATCACTCTGGCTAAGTCTGCATCTCCAGAGGGCTTCTGGCTGGGCCGTGTGTTTGTGGCTACCCTGGGCTGTCATCCTCTGCGAGTCCCCCAGGTGGCTCCGCCTCAGAGCATCGGGGTGCTGCTCAGTGTCGCCAGAGCCCCCTGACCTGCGTGTCCCCAGCCTAGGCCCGCAGAGCGGAGGGCTGTCTGCTCTGGCCATCTTCGGGCTTGGTCGTAAACCCCTCCCCCACACTTTCTCATCCCCCAAACACGGGCCTGCAGAAGCGAGGGCCTGAGGAGCAAGCCCACCCCTGACCCCCGTCACAGCCTGCCCAGCTCGGTCCCAAGGCCAATGTGGGCCAGGTGTTGGGAGTGGGGGGGTTCTCTGTCCGTGGGAAATCATGCACCCTCTCTCACCTCTGCCCACTCTCTCCTGACCTTGAGGGCTCCAGCTCCAGGCTGGGAGTTCAGGCCGGGCCAGAAGGACCTTGGGGGCCTGGGTGTCCGCTGACGGCTTCCCCCTTCCTTCAGGTCATCCAGGAGGTGAGCGGCCTGCCTTCAGAAGGGGCGTCCGAGGGAAACCAGTGCACCCCGGATGCCCAGCGTCTGAACTGTCAGAAGGTAGGTCTCTCCTTGGCTGGAGGGAGAGCCCAATGACAATTAAAAGTATAAAACTGGGAGCTTTTTCATACTCCAGCTCAGTTAATGAGCAGCTGGGTCAGGGCGGGGGCTGCAGCTGGGCCGGGAAGCTGATGACACGGATGCAGCCGTAGCTGCGTTCTTGCCTCGCTGGGCGTGGCGGGGGAGCCCTGCTGTGACAGTCACCGCTCTCCACTCCCTGGCAGGGACTGATGTTCGAAGCTCTTTCTCCCCGCTCGCTCCCCCGGAGAAGTTCCGGGGCTGGGGGAAGGTCTCAGTATTGCCCCGAACCCACGGGCTCCAGGGATCCTTTGCGTGGAGCTGCGGGGCCCCTGCTGAAGGGGCAGCATCGAGGACGCTGGGCTGGGTGCTGACCAGGGGTGAGGTGACGTCACAGGTCCCTGCGCAGGTGCAGTTAGGTGCCCTGCAGCCTGGGCGTGCACAGAGCAGGCAGAGGGCACTGCGCCTTATCGTGGGGTCCCCACTGCAACAAGGAGGACAGTCGAGGCCGTGAGCAGGGAGCAGGCCCTCAGTTCTTTGGGAAGGCACATGCCGTCCCCATGGAGAAATAGTCAGGCCCTTCTGGAGTCACTGAAGACTCTTCATTGTCTCTCATCGCTTGGTCATCGACAAGAAGCCAACAGCAAAGCAGACTGGGGCTTTCTGCACATGGGGTGAGAAGCTCTCCCTCAGAAGGGCAGGCAGTGTTCCCTGGGCGGGCACCTCCGCCCCAGGGCCAGTCCCACTGGTCGGGAGTCCCACGCCTGTCCGCAGAGTTGGAGTAAGTGGTTCTAGAAGAAGCAGGATGGGGATCATCTGGGTGCTTCTCATTCTTACAGCAGCAGCCACTGCACTGCCGCGGGGCGGTTTCCAGGGCCCCGGGAATGCCCACAGGGGTGTCATCTGTTTCCTCCTGGCTGATCCAGCCAGGACTTAAATTGTGGTCTGAGCCTGTGCAGACACGCTGGCCCGATGCATTGGTAGCTCAGTCAGTTCCAGCACGTTTCATGCTCCTCGTACGAGGGGGTCTCAGCTTGGCATCAGCTTCAGCTGCGATGCCAACTCGAGCGCCACCTGCCCTCCCACTGGCTCCAGGCCATTGTCACCAGGGTGAGCAGCCCTTGGAGGACTCATGGACACTGGACAGGTGCTCTGGGACAGGGCAGGGACCTCAGGAAGGGAGGGTGAAGGCAGGGCCTCCAGCAGGCCCCAGAAGGAAGCCCAGCAGTGTCTCACCAGTGACCTGGGCTCCAGGGTGACCCCTATCCGACACCCAAGAGGAATCTATCATTTTCTCCAGAACTGGGGTCTCCGACGTCCCCACCCCCAGGTCAGATCACCCATTCCTCTTTCTTCCACAGGCAGATCTCTCTGAGAAGCACCAGTCAGCCTCGGAGTACGGGAGCTCTGCAGATGGCCACCCTGAGGTCCCAGAGACCAAAGACGGTACCCACGCTTACGGCTCGCAGCCCAGGGCGGAGCGGGGGTGGACCCGGCCGGGCAACTCCGCTGTGTGGCTCAACCCTGATGGGTTTTAACAGCTAATCCCAACAGGCCTCCAACTTATAAACGACTTTGCAATAGCACAGCTCACAGATCCAGGGAGAGGGGGAGATGACCAAACTGGTTTCATGGCTCACGGGGGGGCAGAACATTCTCTCATCTTCTCTTGTTTGCTAACCCTGTCGAAGGGTCTTTGAGCCTTCAAATCTTTGGGTCCGTAAAGATCCTCAGAGGCTGGCACATCCAGAAGGGAAGTTGGTGTCCCCTCGAGTGTGTGAACCAGACACCTGGCTCTGGGCTGTGGAGCCGGGTGTGGGGGGCGGGTTGGGGCAATGGGGTGGGAGTGTCTGCTGCCCTCCCAGCTGCCACGGGGCGGGCGGGCACGCTGTGTGCTGCGCTGATGCTTCTCTCATCCCACAGTCAAGAAGAAGTGTTCTGCTGGCCTCAAGCTGAGCAACCTAATGAACCTGGGCAGGAAGAAGTCCACCTCCATGGAGCCTCCGGACAGGTCCCTCGAGACATCCAGTAAGAATGGTGGCCGCGTCCTGGACCACGGGGCTCGCCCACGGGGCTGCAGCCTGTCTCCGGGGGGCATCAGGGACAGTGAAGACGGGCGTTTTAGGTCTTGCTTTCAATATTTTTAGGGATGGGGAGCCCATGGTCCAGTTTCTGTTTATCTTTATTGCAGGTAGTTCTTTTTTTTTCTTTATTGACTTTTTTTAGAGAGAGAGGAAGGGAGAGGGAGAGATAGAAACATTGATGAGAGAGAACATCGATTGGCTGCCTCCTGCAGGGCATGGCGTTGGGCATGGGAGCCTGGTCCCAGTGAGTCATTTTGGGTCGATGCTCAACCACTGAGCCACACCGGCCGGGCTGCGGGTAGTTCTCTATGTCTAGTCTGACTCTTTCTTGCTGCAGTGTTGGATCTTTCATGGAAGTGAAGGGTAATTGAGAACTGTCCTCCAAATGGTCTGTAAAAAGCTGCTCACTTGACCAGTATTTATGGAGCTTGGCAGGCACAGTGTTACGGAAAGGGAACCAAGCGGATGGAGGACACAGTCCCGCGAGTTTACAGCTCAGGAGAGGTGGTAGCTGTATACCCCTCGCCACACACCTGCTGCCTAGGAGCCGCAAGGACGCAGGGGCAGAAAGAGCCTTCCCCACTCTGGACAGAGTGACTTCCTGGACCTGAGCCCTGAAGGCAGGGAGGAGCTCCATGGCCTGGGATGGCACGGGGCGGGGCAGAGCCCGAGGCAGGCTGGTGAGACCCCTTCAGGGGCCGACAGAGCCGTGGTTCTGGGTCAGAGGGTGTGTATAGGAGCTGGTGGACTCCTAGCAGTCATCTCTACTGCCCTTTCCTAGCTGTGAGGAGACAGGCCAGAACAGAGAGACCTTTCCCTGAAAAGATCTTGGGTGGGTCCATGTCCTGCCATTCAGCCCGGGGCTCATTGCTGTGGCTCTCCCAGGACCTGCAGATCATCACTGTCCACTGGGGTCCCTCCTCTTCCTCACGGAACCCGTGTCCCAGCCTGGGCTCTTTCCCCGAGTCCCAGATTGTTCTCTGTGTGGAGCCTGGCCGCTGGCCTGGGAGGAGCGGAAGGCAGGAGGCGGGGCCTCACTGTTGGCGCCTGCAGCTTCTCCTGCCAAGGCACCCTGTGGCCTCGGGGCAGGCGGTGGGCATGGAGCCTGGTCCCAGTGAGTCATTTTGGGAGATGTGGCTGGGTTACTGCTGGAAAGTTATTCAGCAGCAAAGCATGCTCTGTCCCCTGTGGCTCCTGTCCCCTGTGGCTGGGGAAGGGCCGGAGAAACACAGATGCGCTCCTTCCCAGGACTGGACATCAGCACCCAGGCCTCTCCTGACCCCGAGTTCTCTTTGGTCCAGAGAATCATGATGGGCCAGTGGGGTGTCCGCCCAGACGAGCCAGAGGCCCTGAGTCCTCCGCTCAAATCCTTCCACTTTGCTCCCGTGTGGGGATGTTCTCGTGGCTCTGAGAGTCCGTGAGCCCCCTGTGTGGCCGGCACTGGGTGGGTGGGAAGGTGGCCGTGTACTCGGACCCTGCTGGGTGAGCCTAGGTCATTCCGCTAAGGTTCCGGGCAACCGCTAAGCCTGTGGGGTGGAGAAGGAATCCACCTTGTAAGCCGGTGCCCCTGGAAAGGTGAGCTCAGGTGTCAACGTACTGCCCATGGGGTGTGCAGAGGGGCCTGCAGACTGGACTGACTCTCCTCTGCAGCCCCAGGGACAAGGCTGAGCTTGACACATGGTGTCAGCTCCCAAATGTTAACCTAAGTGGGAGCGGGGGAGGCTTGTCCTCTCCTTGGGGAGCTGAAGCCCACACATGCAGCCATTTGAGAACAGGGAGGAAGTGCTTCATGAGTGTCCCCTGCAGCCGATGGGTGCTGTCAGAAAGAGGGGCTCCTGGTCGAGGCTGCAGGGCAAAGACCTGGTGCTAGAGACGAACGTGCCAAGTTCCTGCCCTTGAGAAGCCCTGTGTCCATTTGGAGAGGCTGACACGGAAGCGGAGAGCATCGTTGTTGCAGACGCACCTGTCAGAAGGCAGACGGAGTGGGCAGTGCAGGACCCAGGGAGGGCCAGGGCAAGGACGTCTGTGAGGAGGAGGAGGAGGGACTGAGGGGACTTTGCAGGCTCAGACAGTGACCCGGGGAGGCAGGGCTGTCAGGGAGCTGGGACACTAGGCTGTAAGGCCAGGTGTGCACCTGCAGTGAGGAGACCTGGCTGGGGAGCTCCCTGCACGTGGCCCAAGTGAGCAGAGTCCCGAGGTGGGCTGCTGCAGGCTGGGTGCTTGGAGCCGTGGCGATGAGGGCTGGGGCGGGGGTCCTCTGTCCTGGACACACGGTGGCCTGGTGGAGTCCAAGATGCAGCTCACTTCCCTCTGGACACACGGTTTCCAAAAGCCAGGAGAGCGCTGCTGGTCAACTTCAAGGGGTCTGGCCGCCAGCATGAAGGAGGGAAAGGAATATACGACGAGCCCAGCCGGTGTGGCTCTGGTTGAGCATCGACCCCTGCACCAAGAGGTCGCCTGTTCGATTCCCGGTCAGGGGGCATGCAGGAGGTGGCCAGTCAGTGTTCTCTCTCATCAATGTTTCTTTCTCTCCCTCTCCCTTCCTCTCTCTAAATATCAAGAAAAAAAATTTTTTTTAAATACTACAAGAGTCACAGCCTCTGTGAGTTAGCTTCTCAGGCAAAGTCTTGGAACCGAGGTTCTGGGGAAACCCAGGAGGCCCAAGGTGGCGGCAGCCACCCACACCTTCCTGCAGCCGCCTCCTCTCCTGCAGGTTACCTGAGCGTGCTGGTGAACAGCCAGTGGAAGTCACGCTGGTGCTCCGTCAGGGACAGTCACCTGCACTTCTACCAGGACCGGAACCGAACCAAGGTGGCCCAGCAGCCCCTGAGCCTGGTGGGCTGTGAGGTGGTCCCGGACCCGAGCCCGGACCACCTGTACTCCTTCCGCATCCTCCACAACGGCGAGGAGCTGGCCAAGCTGGAGGTACAGGAGGTCGGGCTCTGGGCTGCAAGTCGTGGAGACTTGGTGTAGCCCTGGGTTGTTTCTGTTTCCTTTGCCTGAGATTGTTTGCATTTTTCAAAAAATTTCCATTCCCTTTCTGGCCTCGGGGTGGTGGTTACAGGAGTGGACAATGAGCTACTTCCTGTGCTGAGGGCAGGAGGGGTATTTATAACTCCCTGAGCTGCTGAAAACACTTTCTGGGGATTCACAGCCGGTTTGATTTGGTTTGTGTGTCACCAGATACAGCCCAGTACATAAAGCTGACGACTGGGCTTATCTGGGGGGAAGAATCAGGTTGGCGACACAATTGCATTTCTCCCACTCCCCACCCTGTGTGATGTGATGTCACAGTTACAGAAATAAAAGGTGACATAATGCCTTGCATCGAGCTAGGCAGGTCCGAGCCGGAGTCCTTCACACGCACAGAAGCGCACACACTTTCGGGTTCACGCCTGTTCACCTGGCCCTTCGTCCGGGCGGCTTCATCCCAGTGTTGCTTCAGTACTGCCCTCTGGTGGCCAAAAGATCCACATCCCAGTTGCTTCTCAGGGACGCGTACATCTGTCGCCTTAACAAGTTTCTACTGCTCAGTCTGATAGTGTGTGAACAAGACAGACGCCTGCTCCCTGTCCTCATGGAACTTATATTCTAGTAGGAGAATGAGATGTTATTCAATTAATTACCTAGTAATAGTCTCTGGAAAGAGGTGGGGTGGGTGCTGGGAGGGAAAGAGGGTTGCTCCTGAGAGCAATGAGAGACCCATTGGGTTTCAGGGGAGGGTGGCGTGCTCAGATTTGGATTTTGAGATGCTCCCTTCATCTGTTGTGTGTGGGGTCAACAGAAGGGGACAAGAAGGGACATAATGAAACCTGTTAGGAGGATGTTGCAGTTGCCCAAGGTAGAGACCACCAGGCGGTGGAAGCAGGAGCTAGGGGAAAAGCCGTATTGAGAAGCCCACTTGAAAATAAATGGGGAAAGGAAGCCAGCTAAGTGTCCAACTCGGCGCATAGCTAAAAGACCAGTGTCACTGGGATTTAGCTCATGAGTTCTCAGAATCATACGTCTAAGGTATGTAAGACATCTTGACGATTGAACCTATAAACAAAAACAAATTTGAATTTCGTTATGTCTTAGCAGGGAACCCAGGGAGTCTTGTATGGACGGGTTAGGGTGATACATGGACATGCTACAGTTCAAAAAAGTAGAGGTGTCAACCTAAAATACACGCGATTTTAACAATTCTCCTCTGGCCCTATAGCCTTCTAGAAATACATGTATGTAAATCACATGTGATGTTTGGGACAAATGTCCACAGCATCACTGAGGTGGCATCAAGGTGTCCCTCATGGCAGGAAATGTTATTCGGGGTCCTTGGAGGAAATTCTGGTGAAAGTGAGAATGTTGCCCAGGCTCTCTGAGGCCTTGTCCGAGGTGGGCATCGGGGCCTGAGTGCTGTTCCTGCCCGGGGGGACGGGCACCGGGTGGCACACCGCAGCCCTGCTCACGTCCCTCTGCCTCCTCCCAGGCCAAGTCTTCCGAGGAAATGGGCCACTGGCTGGGCCTGCTGCTCTCCGAGTCGGGCTCCAAGACAGACCCGGAGGAGTTCACCTACGACTATGTGGACGCAGAGAGGGTTTCCTGTATCGTGAGTGCGGCCAAAAACTCCCTGCTGTGAGTACTGGGGCCCTTCCGCTGTGCACCCTTCCCTGTGCTTCTAGACTCCAGGTCCAGACCGCCCTCTGGTGGCGGGTGGGGCAGGGTGCGCGCTCAGGGCTGGAGGAGGGCCAGGCCCCCGCCACAGCAGCCTGGCCTGGGTTAGGTGGTCCAGCTGCTCACAGCAGGGTCCGCATGTTTCCTGACCCTCCATTTCCCGTGCTGTTGGCTCAGTGCTTACCAAGGACCCCTCTCTGGGTCTCCAGAGAGCCCTGGCATGAGCAGGCCAAGGTGGTATTTCTGTTTCCAGATGAGCTGTGTCCGGGAGGAGTGGTCCAGGGCCGAGTGGTTGAGGAGCCGCCCAGAAAACAGAACCCCTATATTTAAAAAAAATTTTTTTTCCTTTTTATTGATTTTAGAAAGAGGGGAAGGGAGAGGGAGAAAGAGATGGAAACATCGATGAGAGAGAACATCGATTAGCCACCTCCTACATGTTCCCCACTAGAGATCAGTCCCACAACCTGGGCAGGTGTCCTGATCGGGAATTGAACAGGCGACCTCTTGGTGCATGGGTTGATGCTCAGCCACTGAGCCACACTGGCCAGGCCAGAACCCCTTTTCTTATGCACAAAAGGGGGAAGGCCTCCCGTAGGTGCTGCCCGAAGTATATCCTGAAGGTGAAGGGAGAGGGTTGTGCTGCTGTCAGAGGTCCTAGAGTGGAGTTGGAGGGTTTCAGGGGCTGCCGACAGAGGGGCTGGGGAAAGGACGTTTTCCTGGAAGAGCAGTTCGGAGCAGTTCCAGTAGGGAGGCCCCAGGGCTCCGCACATCCTCCGCTCTCGCTGGACCTCTCGTCCTCGTGCATTCTGGAGGCTGGTGCCTTTTGCTGCCCGTCTTGACTCCTGCTCTCTGTGTCGTGCGCGTATCTTCCAGCTTGATGCAGAGGAAGTTCTCAGAGCCCAACACTTACATCGACGGCCTGCCCGGCCCAGGTCGCCAGGAGCTGCTGTATGATGACGTGGAGATGTCAGAGCTGACGGCCGCGGTGAGGACCCTGGCAGGGCGGGGGGGCTGTCCAGTGCTCCAGCTGCCAAAGCTCAACACCATGTCACACTGGCCCTGAAAGAGCTGGATTCCCAGCCACCTGCAGGGCCATCGGTGCAGCAATCTAGGTGCAACAAGGCCGTCCTGGGTACTGGGGCGGGCAGCCCGCCTGGCTCGGGGACTTGTCTGGATAAAACAGCTGGTAACCACCCTGCTCAGTGCTAGGATGGGAGATGCTCCTGGGAAGGGGGCGGTGTCGCCATTGGCCTTTGAGATCCAGATTGATACTGGAGGTAGAATCATCATTCGGGCAGGAGGTTCCGTTGATCAGATGCTGTGAATTATCTCCTTGAGTTCTAACCCCCGCAGGGGGAAGTATCACTCTCTTCTCTTACAGATAAGGAAGTAAGGTTCAGGAGAGTCAGTACTATGTCCTGGGTCTCCCACCTCTTGAGTAGCTCATCCAGGACTTGAACCCTGACCTTCTCACTCCCAGTCAATACGAGGCTTCCCGGGGGAAGGTCCCTGGACACCACACAGGAGGGCCAGGAGCTCCGAGGCAGGGTGGGTGCATTGGTGAGACACCTGCCTCTTTCCACGGCAGAAGGACCCTGCGGAAGCTGCCCCTGCCACCGATGCTCCAAGGGAGCCCGACCCTGACCGCATGTACCTGGACCTCACGCCTGTCAAGTCCTTCCTGCACAGCTTCAGCGGCGCCCAGGCCCAGGTGTGCTCCCCGACGCCGCCCTGCCTGGAGCCTCCCGCTGAGGCCCTCCCCGCGGACCTGGGCCCCGCCCCAGCGGAGCCCCTTGCTAAGTCTGCAGAGACCCCCGAGTTGCAGGTACAGGTTGTCCCCCCGCCGGTGAGCTGGCCCCTTCCCCGGCCCCGCAGCCAGCTGAGTCGTGTTTGCTCTCTGCGAAAGCAGGTGCAGCAGGAGAGCCTGGAGGCTGAGGAGTCTTCCCCGAGAGCAGTCAAAATCCAGACCGAACAACAAAAAATCTCCTTCCCCCCGAGCTGCCCCGACACCGTGGCCGTCACCCCAGCTGAGGCCAGCACACCTGTGAAGGACAGGCTGCGGGTGACCTCTGCAGGTACCTATGCCGGATAAGAGTGGGATGTTTGGAAATGGCTCAGGGAAGTTAGCCCAGTCTTTCCCTTTCATAGGGGAAGCAGAGGGTCAGAGAGGTAGAGACCTGCCCAAGGTCGTGCAGTGGAGGTGTGGGCGCCGGTTTCGTCCCTGCGAGGCTGGCTGGGTCCAGCTCTGCTCTCCTGTCAAAGCCGCGGGCGGCCTGAGCTTGGGCAGGGAGTTGGGCATAGCCCTCGGGTTCCGGCCTGGCTGACCTCGGGGTTCCCCTCTCTGGGTTTGCAGAGATCAAACTTGGCAAGAACAGGACAGAAGCCGAGGTGAAGCGGTACACGGAGGAGAAGGAGAGGCTGGAGAAGGAGAAGGAAGAGATCCGGGGACACCTGGCCCAGCTCCGGAAGGAGAAGCGGGAGCTGAGAGAGGCCCTGTTGAAATGTGCAGGTGAGGGGCCCCCCGCGGGAACAGCCCGGGCCTGCAGCCCTCCGACCCCCGGCACAGGTGCATGCCCCCACCTCGAAGTCCTCTCCCCTCCAGCCTGGCCAAAGGTCACCGTCCTGTGCAGAGAGACCCTCTGGCCGATTATCAGTAGGACCAGGAGGTAGTTTTTCAAGCTGGCTAAAGGAGGACATCTCTAAAAAGTGTATTTAGCCCTTAACTGTTTTATTTTCACGTAAATCAAATGTATACTCCCTGGTCCAGCTCTCGCTGCAGTGCCTTGTCCTGAGACCCCCATGTCCTGGCTCTTGCATCCACCACACGTGTCCTGCACCATCCTGTCTACCCGTCCCCCAGCACCGTGCCTGTTAAAGGTGCGCCTGGCTGAAACCCTGCCCCTGCAGCCGGCTTCGTTCCCGTTGCAGACCAGGGAGTCCTGGCCGGCCTGGAGCAGCAGCTGAAGGAGATCGACGAGGAGTGCAGGGCGGAGGAGAGCAGGCGCGTGGACCTCGAGCTCAGCATCATGGAGGTGAAGGACAACCTGAAGAAGGCCGAGGCCGGGCCCGTGACGCTGGGCACCACCGTGGACACCACCCACCTGGAGACCATGAGCCCCCGGGTGAGCGCTTGGAGCCACGGAACCCTGAGCTGCGGGCAGGCCGCCTGGACCCGGGAAGGGGGCCCCGTCTCCCTCCCCCGGCTCAGGCCTCACTCGCCTCCTGTCACCACAGCTCAGAGCTGCCACCTCCACCCCTGCCGCAGACTGCACCCCAGTCAACTCTGCCACGGCGCTCAAGAACAGACCTCTTTCCGTCATGGTCACCGGCAAAGGCACCGTCCTCCAGAAGGCCAAGGTAAGCGGTCACTCCCGGCCCCCCACGACTGTCACTACGTTAGGGCCCCGCTTCTGACCCGGGTAGCACAGGGGCTCAGTCTTGGGCACTGACCAACCAGGACGGTTCTTGGTTCAAGTGTTCTTACTAATCAGCCCGAGGACACCCCGTCCTTGAACTACCAACCACCAGATAATCCCTAGGTTCTGGGGAGGCAGTTTTCAAATAAAGTCAGTGCTTCTAAAGGACTCCGGCTGGGAAAACCCGAGCAGCAGATTCAGACGGGCAACGTGATTGCCTCCCAGACAGCTGGTGGCAGAAGGCTCGGGAAGGCGTCAGCATGGAGTGGATGCTGTTACTGGGTTTTCCCGGGAGCTAGACTCAAGTGTGCTATTAATTCTTGACTCAAGTGTGCAGAACAGAACATGCCCAGGGCTGCCTGTGCACTTAGCTAACTCTGCTCCTAGTTCTGTCCTGCTTACCTGCCGGAGGTATTCTGGGGTACCTGCACCCGTGGGAGCCGCCGCTCCCTCACAGACTCCTGACTGCCACAGCCTCAAAAGCCTCTGAGCAGGGACCCCAAACAGTGATGCACACACCGGGCTCGAAGTCTAGCGGCTGTCTCTATTCCTGTTTCTGTGCACAGGGGTTGCTGCAGAGCATAACTAACTTGCTTCTTTTGGGGGGTGCTGGTCTTTGAATGGTGCCCTAGGAGTGGGAGAAGAAAGGAACAAGTTAGGGAACGAGCCGCACCGCAAGCCTATGCTGTCGACGTGGACCTTGGTGACAATCCTGCTTCGCCCAAGCTGTCGTTCAAGCAGCAGCTCTGTGCAAGGGTGAGTCTGTTTAGAAGGGAAAACCGGGACGGGGGTCCCTCGCATGGAGCGCTTCCACCGAGAGGAGGCTCCAGGCCTCTGCGGGGCCGGAGGAAGTAGTGCGACAACAGCTGTGATTTTAGACGCCTTCATGCCATCGATGACACACTTCTGAGACTCGGTGACGGAGGAGAAGATACTTGGGACCAAGCTGAGGCAATGTCTCCACTCAATTAAGGACTTTTTTTTCAAAGTGACGCTGTATTATATTTTTTTTTAAAAAAAGTTTCCAATCCTGTAATTTAGAACAGTGAAGTGTCTTCTGAGATTTAACTGACTTTGGACATTAGCGTAGAAAAGAAAGATTACCTTGTGTTTACAGAGTCCATCCTGTGGCCATTTTTAAGAGAAGAGTTATTTAATATAATGCTCTCGGAGTCCGGTTTTTTTTAAAGTTGTGCTTAATGTCTAGGCCCCTTCTAAGAAAAAAAGTGAATTTTGTTTGGGGTGGGCTCCCTGTTGTCTTAAAATGGGCAGTGCTGCCCCATCTTCTTCCGATGGTGTCGTCTCCCGACACGGGGAACATTTCATCTGCCACCTCGCCTCGCCTCTGGGGAGTCGGGGTTCCCTAGCTCCGGTCCCCGAGGACTGAGGTCCTTCTCATCCCAGGGCATGGCTCCCCTTTGTCACAAACACTCGGTGGCCCTTTACCAACGGGTGAGTTAGGTATTGTTTTGTTTTTTTAATAAAATGTTAATTGTATGTTGGGGTTTCTTGTATTTTGTGGGATGACTTGGGGCAGGGCCTGGTGGACTCCTGGGGAAGCACGCGTCTTGGGCGTTTACACACTGACCTTCCAAACGTGCAGTAAGACCAGTGAGCTATGCGGTGGGATCTTAGATGGTGAGCCTTCTGGAATCTGGCAGCACAGATGTAAGACAGAGGATTTTCATAGTATGACCAACCTCGTACCCAATGCACTAGGAACATCTGCAGAAACTGATCACACCAGTGACTGGTAATCGACACTCCGAGAAGTTAAACACAGTCCTAAAGGATTCCTGGGAGGAAAGAAACTGGGACTTAGAAAGTTGCCTAAGTAGTAATGAAGGACGTTCCTAGCATAAATGGGCTCACTTTAAAAGTCTGCCAATGCCCTGACTGGTTTGGCTCAGAGGTTGGAGTGTTGGTCTGCGGACCAGAGAGTCCTGGGTTCGGTTCCCGCTAGGGGCACGTAACAACAACAACAAAAATGTAATGTAAAAGTCTGCCAACATTTTTTAGGTAAGACTTTTTTCACGTACGTCCAAAAATAAGATTTTGTTTTTCTTTTGCAATGGGTTAGATTTTTGGCATCAGAACTAAGCTAGCTTTCTACAAGGGGAAATATATATTCCTCAAGCTGCTATAGTCATAGCATTTTTCTTGTAATTAAAAAAAATCTTGTCAGTCCGTGTACTGCAGGCTCCCTCCCAGCTCGGCCTTTACTGTCGCCTCAGGCTGTCTTTTCACTGTATTAAGTGTTTTCAATGAGCCAGGGTTTGGTTTTCTCATCTTGCAAATAAACACATTTATGCTATGTTTAAAGGCCCACATACCATGACCAGACAGCTTTTATCCAAAGAATCGAGGTGGTTCAACATCTGAAAATATACTGTAAGTAATTTATCATATGAACAGATGAAATGTGAAAAAACATCATCTCGAAGGAAGCAGAAAAGCATTACCACAAACCTCCATATTCCTAATAAACCTTCTTTCTAATCTAGGAATAAAGCATTCCCGCCCTTATAAAGTAAGCCACAGAAAATAGTATCTAATGGTGAAAAGATCCCTTCGGGTCTGGAAGCAGATCGACATGTTCCATTGCCACTACCTTTTTAAGACATTCGGCAGGTCCTAGATTATGCAAAATGATGAGAAAAATGAGAGTAAAACTCCAAAGGGAAGAGACAAAACTATCATTATTTGCAAATGCTATTTTTCTAGAAAAGCAAGAGAATCAACTATTAAAACGTGTTTGGGTAGTTGGCTGGAATGAGGATTGTTCAGAGAAAATGAAAGCTGTATGGCTTGTCCGCAGTGCTTCCATTTTTACAGGAACGTATTTTTATATTGTGTAATTAAAAGGCTTGGCCGGTTAGGCAGCAAGAAAGGAATTCCCTCCGCCGCTATTGGGGCATTGGGAGGATTGAACTGTTCAGTGGTGCCTTCCCTAGAAAAGGTTAAAAAAAAATTCAAGAGCTGGGACCTAAAACCAGAAACGGTAAAGCCTTTAAGATGTAACCCACAGTTTTATGGGATTTTTTTTTAAGTCCAAGCAATTCAAATGGGATAGCCAAATAGCCTTGATCAGACAAAGAACCTACACTATACAACAATTAAACGGCTGTGAATTTTAAAGACAAGGACTCATGTACGTTCTCCGCTGTCGGCCCCTGCTGGGTGGACATGTGGCCCTGCTCTGATGTCACCTTCCGCCAAGGCTCCAGAGTAACAGGAATGAAATGATCCCTTGAACACACGTGACGGCCATGGCAGCTGGACTGTTTATGCCTGACCTCTAACAGCCCCATGGCGACAGCGCCTCTCAAATGCTTTTCTAGCCCCAGAAATCTCGACGTGCTTAAAGCCAAGTGGTGTTTAAACCAAGGTGGCCTTGAATGTTTGCATACAGGGCATCGCTTACAGTAACGAGAAAAGCGATGATACAGTGTCTGGACGTTGGTCAGACCTCTGCAACACTTCCTACTGAAAACCGAACTCGCAACGACACCACCCACGGGAAGAATTGGGTGGCAGGGGTGAGGACAGGCCTGGTTTGCCGTAAAATATGCCAACGACCACCTCTTTGCCATATGGGGACAAGTACTCCTGTTAAATAACCAACATCATTTCTTGAAGTCCTTTAAGGACTACACATGAAAAAGCAAAACCCTTCTCAGTTTCTTTATTCTCTATTTGTTGAGTTTAAGAATCCTGCTCTTTGCCCCACTAAAAGGAGAGTAAAAAAGGCACTCAGTACACCCCACAATTAACCCCTTGTAAGTAAACTGTAAAGAAACCCCTCCCCCAAGATAATGTGGCCTGGTACCCGGGCCAACTGCACACGGCCCCTCGGAACCAGGCTGTGTGTGCACACGGCCCCACCCCCATAGTCAAACAAGCTGGTTAATTAGTCCCATTCTAGTTTGGGGCTTTTCCAAGCCTGTACCCCCCACAGATGCAGTCACCAGAAGTCACAAATGCCACTCACACCCCTTTTTAAACAAACCAACCACGAATGTATCTAGGACGTCGTGGGGGAAAGACGTGTGGAAAGTCCCGCACTTTCTCCGTCTCTAAGCGCCACTGTGTCCGCGGTCCCGCGACACCCTAGTCACCGCCTCCGTCCCAGCATCACGGCCCCAACGTTCTGAGTGCTGCTTGTGGGCCCAGGGAGCTTCCCACCGGACATCCAGTTTCCAGGTTCCTTTGTTGCTCCTCGGGAAAGGTGACAGGTGGCAGCTCACCGGGCACCACGGGTACAGAGGAAGTACACATCAGCAGTGTCCAACCGTCAGCGGGTGAATCAGCTGCTACCACGTGCCTACGCAGCGCTGCTTAGTTGGGGCATCGCTGTCCCCGGGTGAGGGAAGTGGGCAGGCGGGTTCGGGACGGAGCTGGAGGTACGCGGAGGCCCCAGGACAGGATGCTCCATGCAGGCAGGTGTGCTCTCAGCGCCCAGGGTGCCCCCCTCTCCGGAGCTGCTGGGTCGGGCGGGGCTGCGGCCCCCCTGCAGGCTGTTGGCGGGAGCTTCGTGCCCTGAGGGCATCTCCTCTCAGGACCCCTGGGGAAGAATCGAACTTTGAGGACTGAGGAGTGTCTGAGTCCTCTGGGCCCCTGCATGTCTTGTTCTCACTCCATGACCAAGCAGATGTCAGATCACAGGCTCTCAAGGCCCTTCTGACGCCCTCCCGCCTCAGGAAGCCAACCTCTGCCCACGGCCCAGAACCCAGGCTCCAAGGGGAATCCTCTTGTGGTGGCGGGGTTCTAGCTCTAAGTTCATGAACGGGAGCCCCAGGTGGGCCTGTGATGCTGCCCAAGGGTCATTCTCCCTGACCTTCGTCTGGTCCCCCTCCAGCCTGCGGCCCCTCCTCCGCTGATTCCTCCCTCTTCACTGAGCAGATACAAACACTCAGGAAAGAACTCCCAGCAGCTCCGCCACCAACCCCCCTTCCCGCATCCGGGCCCAATCCTGTCGCCAGTCTCCGCATCCCCGTGCTCCTAACCGACGCCTCCCTCGGAGGCCTTCCTCCCAGTCACCGTTATCCTGCGCGTGGGGGCTGAGCACCCTCTAATTCACTACATGTTGTACTTATTTCCTGCCTCCCCCACGTGCGTGGGAGCTCGACGAAGGGAGAGATCTACTGTCTGCTCGACTGCTGTGTCCCCCACACCCAGAACGACGCCTGGGACGGAGGGGCCCCTGCTACACGTTTCCAGGGTGAACGAACAAATGATGCTAGTAGGTCCCTTCTGCTGAGCCGACACCTCAGAACCTGCCTTCAGCTGAGTTCCCAGGTCTCAGAACCCCACCCCCAGCTCACACCCGCAGAGCAAGGACCCCACTCACGGTTCTCGCAGTGGGGGCCCTCCCAGCCGCCTCGGCAGGTGCAGAGGTAACTCCCGTTCCGCAGGACACAGGTGCCCTCGTTCATGCACGGGCTGGGTTTGCAGAGGTTGACGGGCTGACTGGCTTCTACAAGAAACAAGGTGCCCAGCAGGCCCAGGCGGGGTCAGCCCACAGGCCCCTCCTCTAAGGAGCCCGGTACAGCTGCAAGGCCCCTAGGCCAGCGTCTTACACAGCTTAGTGCTTCCGTGGGTCCTTGAGCTAGGTGAGCACACGGCTGGTGCTCCAGGCTGCTCGTCTGGGTTGAGACCCAGCTCCCAGCCAGCTTTCCTAGATGCACATGGGGACCGTCTCTCAGACGTGCCAGGCTCCTAGCACCGCTTACTATTCTCGTGACGGCCACGTATTTGAGAAGGTGGAAGGATGTCACTGGCAAAAGGAAGCCTCAGCCAGGCTGACCTGCTGTTTGCCCCTCACTCTGGCTCTCATTGCCAAGGGCAGCATCAGCCTTGGGGGATCTGGTAGCCTAGCAACGTCTTCTGTTTAAATGGAGTAGTACATGCACTCTCGAATTCGGGGAGGGGTATGTGTGGTAAACTAGCTGTACCCTGAATGTCAAAAGAGGACGGTGTGCCTCCCGAAGGGCTTCCCATGAGCGTGGGGTGCAGCACACCACCCGGCACGTGGAAAGCTCAGGAGCCAGGAGCGGTGATCCTTGTAACGAAGGACACGTGAAGGGTCAGGATGAGGTGTCGCCCCCTAGAGGCAGCACTCACCTCCACAGAGCCACCCGATGAGCGCGTCCTGGTGGAACCTCAGGTCTGCGTAGGCCGCCACGTGGATCAGAGAGTCCTGGGGACCGGCAAGCCTCCGCAGGGCCTCCCTCAGGACAGGCCCCACACCCACCACCAAGACAGAGACCCCGTTGTTCCTCAGCTTCTGGGCAGGGACAGCCGCATCCTCTGCCCCCCTCCCCCCGGTGAGCACCACCACAGCCTTGGGGACGCCAGGCCGGGCGCCCCTCTGGACGGTCATCACCTTGTCATAAATATGCAGCAAGGCCGTGCCTGCGGAGCCCACCCCACCCAGGTAGGGGGCCTGGCTCATGGCCCGCAGCACTGCGGGACGTGTGATGTGCGTGTCCAGCCCGAAGGCTGTCTGGACCTGGCTGCCGTACACCACCAGGCCAATCTGGGTCACATCGGGGTTCACGTCGAACTGGAGGGTGCAGCTTCGCACGAAGCTCTGCATCTGGGCGAAATTCTCAGGCCCTACTGAGGCCGAGGCGTCCAACATGAAGACCAGGTCCAGGGACTGTGCCTGGCAGCCTGTGGGAGCAGAGTGGGCCTCAGGGCGGGCCCTGCCAGGCGGAGCCCCTCTTCTGGAGCCGGCCAGCAGGGTGGGGCCAGCCAGGGTGCTGTGTCCATGCGCAGCTGCCCTCCCCTTCCGCTAGAGTATCAGCAGGACACGGATGCCTGGCTAGACCACACTCCCAGCCTCCCTGGGTGTCTAAGTTCTACCCGCTGGGATGTGAGTAGAAGCGACTGTGCAGTTTCCAAGTGACATCCTCAAAGGGAAGCTGCCTGCCTTCGAGTCCCCTCTTCCCCACTCCGGCTGAGAAACAGTGACCTTGGACCTAGAGGCAGACCACGAGGTAGCCAAGCCGCCTTGCTGGCCCAGGCCACTCGCCTCTGAATGCTACGAGAGAAATAAACATGTTATATGTAAGGCACTGAGTCTGGGGACCCTCTGTGATGGTGACTTCACCGGTACCCTCATCCAGCCCATTACTGAGCACCTCCCTGGGCCAGGCACTATACAAGGTACTGATTATACCAGTGGGCAAAAGGGGGGTGCCTGCCGTCGACGGACTGACAGTCTCTGGGGAGACGGGCGTGAATCCAGGATAGAATGACAAGTTCTATGAGCAGCCATGAGGGGGAAAGCAGGGTACCCTGGAGCAACACTGTCAATCAGGAGAAGTGGCTGGGACTTCGCCGAGAAGTTAGCTAAGAGCTGGAGGAGTAAGTCTGAGCTGGAGGCGGGACTGTTCCTAAGGTGCCGGAGCTGCAGAGGCCGGCAGGGACCAGACCACGGGCTCGGGAACCAGCAGCCGTTTGGGTTCAGTTCCAAATGCAGAGGGAAACCGCTGGAAAAGTTCAAGTACAGGGTAAGAGGATCTGATTTATCGGTGTTTTTAAAACCACTCCAGCTCAAGGTAGGTCTGGCTGCCCTGGGGGGACTAGCCTGGAGGGACACAGTGCGCACGGGCGGCCAACCCCGTCCCTCCGCCTTGCAAGAAGGAAGGTCTCACCTCTGGTGACCAGCATCTGGGGCTGAATTTCTCATACAGTGTCCCACCTGCCACCTCCAGGGGAGCAATCCGGGGCCCCTCCAAGATGTGTTTCAACTACATCTCGCCATGGGCCAAGGCCCTGCCCATGATGGGAATGTCTACTCCCGGGGACAGTGTTCTCCAGAGCACCCCCAATGTCAGGACACAACATCAACTCAATGGGTGATGCACCTCAACAGGAGATACAAAAATATTGCAGGTGGGCCCTGGCCTGTTTGGCTCAGCGGTTAGAGCCTCGGCCCGCGGACCAGAGAGACCCAGGGTCATTCCACTAAGGGCACGTACCTCGGTTGCAGTTTGTCCCCAGTCTCGGTTGGGGTCGTGTGGGTGGCAGCCACTCGATGTGTCTCTCTCACATCCATGTTCCTCTCTCTCTCCCGCCCTCTCTCCCTCCCGCTCTATCTGAAGATAAATGCAAAAAAAAAGCCCTTGGGTGAGGAAAAAATAAAATAAAATAAATATTTCAGGCAGCTGGGACAAGCATCGTTCAACGAAATGCTCATTTCAGCCCCCGTGCTCCGCGCAGCGGGAGGGATGTGGACTCCCCTCGGAGAAGCTGGAAAGCCCCTTGTTAACAATCAGTGAGTAACAATAATAAATAGCAACAGCTACAATCTTCTGAGTGCATCCTCTGTGTACACAGCTGGTCTTTCTTAACCTTCACAAAAGCCGTTCAGGGGGTGGTGTTATTGGTCCCATTTTCATGAAAGCGGTCCAGCCCCTAGGCACAGGCCTTGGTTGAATGTCAGCCCAATAAGGAAGGGCCTGCCACTGACCACCAGCCCTGGGTCAGGCCGAGGTTGCTTGGCAGCGGGCACAGGCACCGGGCTCTTACCTGGCCGAGGCCGGCTGCACAGCTTCCCCTGCAGCTCCGGGATCTGGTTGAACAGGTCCTGCGGGTCGGCGTAGACCATGACGTGCTCGGGGCTGCCCGTGACCTCCTCCAGCTCTGCCCGCACGGCCTCAGTGCCCACGCCCAGCAGGAACAGACCTCGGGTCCTCGCGTGCTGCGCCGGGCCAGCCACCTCGTCCTGGGAGCGCGACTCGGTGAGCAGGACGACCACCCTGCGAGGACGGTCCTGGCCTGTCCTGCTGGCGCTCCCAAAGCCGCGCTCCGCCGCCTGCCGCAGGGCACTGCCCGTCAAGGTGGCGCCTCCGCTGAAGGGGACGGCATCAAGGCTCCGGACCAGGTGGGGCACATCCTGGTACTCGCCCACGGGCACTGCCAGCACCAGCTCCCTGCTGTACCAGGCCACACCCACCAGGGCCCGCGAGTCCTCACTCAGCGACGCCTGCACAAACCGCTTCACAAAGGCCTTGGCCCGCAGGAAGCCCTCCAGCGTGGTGCCCGCCGAGCTGGCCAGTAGGAAGAGGACGTCGGTTCTGCACTCCAGGCTCAGCGTCGGGGCTGCCAAAAATCACAGCCGCTGTCACGCCGTGGCCACCTGAGCACACGGGTCACCATCCCCCCCGAGATGCCCAGCCACCACACGGGGCAGGAGAATCCTCTCCCAGGAGGGAGACGGGTGGAGACACCGAGTGCCCAGTGCCCAGCACACAGCCGTCCCTCCTGGCTCTCTCTGAGGGTCTCCACCCAACCACTACTTCAACATTAACACGTCACCTATTTCATAACGTCCCCCAGGAGGGTCAGTGCTTCCCGTGAGCCGTGTGAGACCCCTGAAGCTGTGCCCCTGTGTGAAAACGGAAGGGTCATGGCCTGGCCTGCTAACATCAGACCTGTGGTCCATCGGGAGTGGGTTTCTGTGAAGCAGAGTCCAGATGGATTTCTTCCATGTGAATCTCCAACGGGCCCAGCACTACGTTTTTTAAAAAGTCATTCAACAGCCCTGGCTGGTTTGGCTCAGCGGTAGAGCGTCAGCCCGGGGACCAATGAGTCTCGGGTTCGATTCCGGTCAAGGGCACGTGCCTCAGTTGTGATTCCTCCCCAGCCCCGGTTGGGGTTTTGTGAGAGGCAACCAATTGATGTGTCTCTCTCACATCGATGTTTCTTTCTCTCCCTCTCTCTCCCCCTCTCTCTGCCTCCCTCCTCCCCACTCTATCTGCTGATAAAAAAGAAAAAGCCATTGAACAAGCCCCTGCTGTGTGGCAGGCACTGTGCTAAGCACTAAACACGCAGAGTGGGCCAGTTGTAGGTTACAGTTGTCTGTGTGAAAAATAATACAGTCATCGATAAATAATACAAGAATGAGCTGTGTTCCGCATACTCACAACTGTAAACCTACATCACCTGGTCAACCCTAGGAGGTAATGCCTATTAGAGTCTCCATGTCCTACCTTTGGAACCAAAACGGGTTGAGGCTCCTCCTCCTAAAAAAGGGTACAAGAGGCTCTGCCCAGAACCGGACCCCGAGTTGGGCTGGCTCCAGCCTGCAGCTGGGCTCAGCAACACTCCAAGGTCCAGCAGAGACCGCTCTGGAGCTGACAAGCCAGGAGACACCGTCCTACCAGAGCTTCACGGGCTGAGTCATGTATTCATGGAGGGCTGAGTCATGTATTCATGGAGGGCTGAGTCATGTATTCATGGAGGGCTGAGTCATGTATTCATGGAGGGCTGAGTCATGTATTCATGGAGGGCTGAGTCATGCATTCATGGAGGGCTGAGTCATGCATTCATGGAGGGCTGAGTCATGTATTCATGGAGGGCTGAGTCATGTATTCATGGAGGGCTGAGTCATGTATTCATGGAGGGCTGAGTCATGTATTCATGGAGCCCTCAGAGGCCGTAAAATGTGAGACATCACAGCAGTCCTGTGCTTGGTAAGCAGGGGACGCTAACCCTCAAGGGCCAGTTTCTCCCTAGTAGCCTGAAGGGTGGGAGGAGAGACGGGGTGGGGGGCCTGGACTCCACCGCCCACAGTGGTCCGTGTTAGAAGGCCGGTGCGTACGTACCACAGTTAGCCTCCCCTCTGAAGGCTGGCGGGCAGAGGCAGTGGTACCCGCCCAGCCCCTCTGGGACACACGTGCCTCCATTCTGGCAAGGCTGCGAGTCACAGGGGCCTAGCAGAGAGACGCCCGTTAGCAGCTGCAGGCCGCCCTGCCCCACCGTACCCCCTCCCCCCGGGGACCACTAGGAAACTAGCTACCCCTGCAGCAAAGAGGGGAAAGGCAGTGAGGCTGTGAAGGAGGGCTGGGCGCAGGGGTGAAGGACACTTACCGGTGAGCTCAGGAAGGCCCTGTGTGAATTACAGGCTCACGTGCTCACGTGGGGATGTGCCAGGGGAACCTGGACTGTTACAGAAGGAACTGTGTCCTCCCCTCACCCCAAATTCATGCGTACAAGTCCTAACCCTCGATACCTTAGAATGTGAATTTGGAGACAGGGCTTTTAAAGAGGAAATCAGGGCCAAATGAAGTCAGAGAGCGGGCCCGACTCCAATATGACTGGTGTCCTCAGAGGAAAAGACACCAGGGACGTGCTCGGAGCAAAGGCCGTGTGAGGACACAGTGAGAAAATGACCGTCTGCACGCCAAGCGGGGAGGGCTTGGAGGACATCGGACTTGCTGACACCGTGACCTGGGACTCGCAGCCCCAGAACTGGGAGGAAACACATGTGCTGTCCCAGCCACCCAGGCGTGGTCTCGTCCTCGCAGCCCTCGGGGACTGACGCAGCATTCCCACAGCGCTAAGGGCCCGGAGGAGCTCTGGGTGCCATGGTGATGAACTGCTGGCCTGAGCTGGAAGGGCCGCAGGTCTCAGCAACATGAAGCCACAGCGTGGGGGTCTCAGGGCTCGGGGAACAGTGGACGGTGCTCACATTCTACACGTGGTTGCTAACAGCCTCTGAGCTCGGGCACAGCAAGACTGCACCTTTGGATCCTGGACTTAATGGGGTGGCCTCCTCCACTTCCTCGGGCACCTCAGTTAACCCCTCCACCTCCAGGAGCCTCACTGAAGAGGGGATGAGCTGGTTCACGGTTCTTGTGAGGACGGCATGCACTAACCCACGGGAAGTCCGGGACAGAGCCCGACGTGAAGCGAACAGGGCACAACAGGTAGAAGACTAGCCTCGTCCAGGCCCGGCAGAGCAGGGGTCCCAGAGGCAGACTGTACCTGGGCAGGTGGTCCTGTAGCAGGTGGCAGGGTGGGTTAAGAACACTCTCTTCCAGCTACAACCCAAGGACACAAATGACAGAGGTCAAAGATTTAACAAGAGGGCAGACACCCACCCGGAAGGTCGTTTAAAACACAAAGCTGAAATAAAATTCCAGTGCAGAAGCAGAAGCGGGTCAAGAAAGACTTCCTGGTCTTCTTCCTGGACGCCACCCCCGCTTTTATCTGCCCGCAGAGTAGGGAATGTTTCAAACTACCCAGAAACAATTCAAAATGAATAATAATGCAAACGGGCTAAAATGTCAGAAGTTAGAGAGATCTGTGTTCCAGACTCTGAACGGTGAGGACAGCTTTCTATCACAAGTTACTCCTGGGGTCGGCAGGAGGCAGGGGGTGGGAGACACTGGGAACTAGGCCACTAGATCCTGCCTGTGTGACCCCAGGCAAGTTACTTTCCTTCTCTGGTCTTCAGTTCCTTCGTCTACCTAGAAACAATATCTGCAGGTTTCACCTGCACTCCGTGGCGCCTCAGTGGAGAGGGAAGGAAACTGAGTGGCCAGGTGCCAGGCCTCCCCCAGGGCCCCAGCCCTGCGCCACCACCTCAAGTGTGACTGTTCTGGTCTGCACGAGTGTCCATCTGAGGCTGAGCAGCTCAAGAAGATTTTCAGTCCACTGGACTTGATGTCGGAGGTCCGCCTGAGTGCTTCCTGTGGTAGCTTCCACGCAGCAGGTGTCCCCCGATTACCTCGAATCCACGCCTCCCTGAAGAGGAGTTATCTCCATCTTCCACGTGTAGATACGAGCTCAGAGGCTGAATTAGGCTGCCCAAAGTCATGCAGCCACTAGAACACAGCCGAGCTGGGATCTGGACTCCGCCATCCGACTCCAGAGCCCCTGCACCCAGACCTCCGGGCCTGAGTCTGTGGGGCGATGGGCCGGCTCAGCAGGAGCGGTTCCTCGTCCGAGGGCAGAAAGCCCGCCTCTTGGTTGGCAGCAGCTCCGGGGACGCCTCACCCAAGGACAGTCTCCACTTGGGGCCGTGGCAAAAGTTCTAATGTTTTCCAAAGAGGCCTTCTTTCTACAGATCCCGCCCCGGCGGCCCGTGGCAGGGGCAGGCTAAGGGGCTCGCCTCTGGGACAGGGTCTCTCCTGGAGCTAAGCATCCACTTGAGATGAAGGCCGAGTCCATCATGAGCTCACGGAGTTGCCGAAATCAAAAGCTGGCCAAGCCGCCAGCCCATTAAAGACAAATCTCCCCTCCGTGTGAGCTCCTCATAAAAACACACGTCCCAGCCAGCTCCGTGGCCCGACCTCCCCACCCAGGCGCTGGGAGGCTGCACCACTGGAGAGACTGGCCATAGGACCAGCACATGGCTTGTCCTCAACATCCCCTCACATCAGATGCCACAGGCAAGGCCTTCCCTGCCCACTCTTTCAAACTGCAACCCCACTGGGCACCACCCGCCGACCCCAGCTGACCCACCCTGTGTTCTGTCTCAGCGCTACCTACTCGTTTGTTTTATGCGTTTACTTTGCTTGCTGCTGCCTCCCACCACTGGGGTGGCAGCTCCTGCCGAGGGCAGGTGGCTCTGAGCTGTTCGTGCGGAGTGGCAGGACCTGGGACAGTGCCGGCAACCCAGGGGGCCCCGGTAAGGAGATCCTGATGGAGGGAACGGATGATGAGCTGACCCTCTGCAGGCATCATTCCAGGAGACTGCCGGGCATTCTACCTCCCGGGGAGACAGTCCCTGTCCTGGCACTGGGATGCCACAGGGTGGTCACTGGGTTTCTGTCCAAGGCCCTCTCGACCTCGAGCATCTCGGGGGCAGTGGGTGCACCTGCCCTCCCTGCGCACAGCCTGGCTCACAGCAGCACTTGGAGCACATTCCCTTGGAAGCTCGGGTTCCGGAGAGCACCCCCAGCGGCCCCCGACGGCCTGAGGCCCAGGTCCTCCGGATGATGGGGCACGGCCCTTCCTTGGCCTTCGCACTCTCCGTCCGCCCAGCAAGGCCCTCGCTTCTCGGCCGGCATCTCATCGCTGTGCATGATCTGATCTCACCGGAGGGCAAGCCACGGGGCAAGGCTGCAGCGGGCTCAGATGCCACCATGGCCCCCGACAGGTGCGGGCCAGCTCGGCAGTGCGGGCCAGCACGTGCTGGAGGCGGGGTGGATGCAAGGCCAAAGGCCGGTCCAGCCTCGCTCACCCTGGGCCCCTAGGTGGTGTGTCAATAAGACTGACCCTCCCTACGCCCCGGGAGCTCTGTCCCGGGCTCCCTTCCAGGACTCCTCCCAACCCTGCAGCTCCTGAGTGCTAGGCATGGGGGACCTCCAGCCCCACCCAGGCCGTGCCCGTGAGCTCTGCCCCCAGACCACATGGACAAACCTGGAGAAGGGACAGAGTGCAGCCAGAACGCCGTCAGTCCCCCGAGATCCTCTCCAGCACATGGTGTTGCCGACCAGCTCCCTGACCGTCTCCAGGGTCTTGCGCTCACAGGGGTGAGGCTGCACCTTGCAGTCTGTGTCCACGGCACACGCAGTGAAGAAGACAGGGTTACAACTCCTCCCCCACTGCGGTTCCACCACCCTCGGCCGGGCTGCTCCCTTCTGCCTTTCAGGACACCGCACACGGGGGAGGGGCTCTGCTCTGCCCCTTGCTGGGCGGCCAGTCTCTGAGCATCTCCTCTGCACAGGCCCTGCCCTGCATAGCTGTCCCAGCCCGTGCACACATGTGTGTTTTCTGGAACATACTTCACTCTAGCTCCTGGGTGGACCCTGGCAAAGACGGTTACGAATGCAGAGATTGCACCCTGAGCTGAAGTGTCCACATGCTGACCACAGCGGGGGAGCTGCCTCAGCACTTCCTCCTGAGCAGGCGACAGGCACACGCCCTGGGCCCCCTTACCCAACGGAGACCAGCTCAGGGTTCCAGCTAAGACCTGGCACAGGGAGGCAGAACAGAGCAGAGAGCCCCAGGACCAAGGCTGCTGGACTGCATTCCCCTCACCCTCCCTCCTGGGGGAGGCCCCTGCTAGGGGAACCCTCCCCACCCCACACCCCACTTCCACATGGGCAAGGCTGAAAGGCCTCACCTGGAGAGGCGGCGGTGCAGATGCCGGAGCCGCTGAGGGTGCTGAAGAGGCCGTTGGCGGCGTCCTCCACCGGCTCGGCCATCAGCACGTGCTGCTCCTGGGGCTCGCTGGCCAGCGTGTGCAGCTCCTCCCACCTGTGCCCAGCCCCCAGCAGAGAGGTCACCTGGCCTTGTCACTCCTGCCCGCCCGTCTTCGAGACACAGGCTCCTCGTGGACGGCGCCAGCACCCCGCTGACCCCAAAGCCACTCGGCTGCCACCTCATCCATCCCGGAGGCAGGAAAGGTCCAGGGTGAAGCTCAGAGAGACCTCAAGGACGCTCAGCCAGGGGTCATGTGTGGGGGCGCACGGTCCACGGACCTCCCCGGGACAGCCTCCCACTCAACCCGTCGCCTCTTATTTCAGACTCGGTCCCAATAGATGTCACTGGTGCTGAGACTCACGGCAGATGAGAAAAGTATAACCAGGAAGGAAGTGAAGGAAACCGGTTCTGGGCAAGAACAGGAATAGAAAGCACGACTATGGGAGAATTATAAACCGAACACCAAGGCTCGAAGACCCATCGTGGGGGCATGTTGTGGAAGGAGCCAGCTTGCTGACAGCCAGAGGGCACCCCTTAGTGCCCAGGACGGCGATGTGCGGAACGAGGACACCAGGGCAAGAACACGAGGGTAACTGATGTTGAGGAACCTCCTCCTAAGAAGACAGGGCAGTCAGTAATGCCTTTAGAATCCTGCCCAACAAAAACTCATCGAAATAGCCCGAGGTTTGGCACTACGGCCAAAATTTCAATTCTTTGCCAAATTCACTTCCATAAAATTCCCTATCTCTGCAGCCATAGAAACCAGACGTTTCTCCCAGGACCTAGGATGGGGCCTGGCACACGGAGGGGGCTTCTCAGCACGGGGCTCACACTCACGCTCGGGGGCGGTTCTGCTTGACCTCACCCAGCACAGACCCTCTTAAAAGCTCCCTGGTACCGCAGACGCTCAGCCAGAGAGAAGAACCATAGAGAAGGGGCTCAGTGAACCCTAAAAGGGAAAAGAGTTGTACAGAGTCTCATGCAGCCCACAGGGGTGGTTCTCAAACTTTGGTGGGCGTCAGAATCAGAGGGATGGATAAACCACAGGCACGGCCCCACCCTGCTGCCCCAGAGCCTGGGGGGGAGGGGCAGTGTGCGTCCTAACAAGTTCCCAGGTGACACCGCTATTGCTGGACCAGAGAACACATGCTGAAAACCACTGGTCAGTGACCAGCCTTTCCTAGGAGTTGGGGGAGGGGTCAGGTGGGCCTGGGGGCTTCCTCAGAGGTTCCTGTGTCTGCAGCTCAGGCCTCTCCTGACCAAAGGGGCTCAAAGCATGGTCTGGGGCCCAGCGCAGGTCCTCAAACTGCTTCACCCCAGTCCAGAACCAGACGAGCGCCAACACCAGGAGTGACACTGAGACACTAGTACCAACACGACAGTTGTTTTGTGTCTGCCAAATCGAGTAACAAACATCGGGGCTTATATTTTGACTTTTTTCCCCCCCCATCTTTCTAGTAATTCATTCTTATTTTTTTTCAATCCTCACCTAAGGACATTTTTCCATGTATCTTCAGATAGAGTTGGAGAGAGCGAGAGAGAAACATTGATGTGAGAGAGAGACATTGATTGGTTGCCTCCCACATGACCCCAACCAGGGCCAGGGACCAAACCGAGATACACGCCCTTGACTGGAATTGAACCTGCGACTCTTTAGTCCACTGGCCGACGCTCTAACTGCTGAGCCAAGCCAGCCAGGGCCTTATTGCATTTTTTTAAAGTATTAATCCATAACAGATAAAAACAAGCAAACAATCTGGACCTTCACACAGATAGTTTGAGAAGCCCTGCTCCTGTCCCCCCACCCGGACCTAGGACAGGCCACGTATTTCTACTGGGTGGTCAATTCCAGCCTCCTGACAAACCTTCGGGCCTCTGTGCGGGGAGGAGGGTGGGCAGTGAGCCGTGACGCCAGGGCCTCTCAAAAGAACCAATGAGGAAGCAGCCTGTGCTAAATACCAACTTAACTGCTGATTCCAGTGACGACAATCATGACGGTGGCAGTCATCATCACCACCGGGACATGGCAAATTCTGGGAAAGCCCCATGGGACTCAGCCTCCGTCAGACTATCTTCTTCCTTTCTGACCGGCACAGGCAGGCCCTCGGTGTCCTCTCTCTGTACCGCACTCCCTAGTGATCTTACTTAGGCTTCGACTACCACCCCCATGTCTGTCTCTGTGCCGTCCTCTCTCCTGTGCCCCAGACTCTGACATCCAACCGTCCAGTCAGCGTCTCCACTTAGACGGCCAATGTGCATCTCAAGTTAATCGGTCTGACACGGAACTCAGTTTCCCTGTTTGTCCCCAGTCTTTCCCCTTTTGGTAAATAGCACCACCATTCTCCTGGGGGCTAGGGGTCAAAATCCTGGTTCTTCTCTCACCTCATCCTGCCACTCCACTGCTCTGCCTTCCGAACACACCTAAGTCTAACCACTCCTCCAGGGTCACAGCTGCTCCAGGACCACAGGCCACCCTTCTCTCCTGTGTCAGCTGCTCCAAAGCGCCCCAGCTGGCTTCTCCACTTCCTTCGTTATTGCTTCTCCTTCTGCCCCAGCCCACCTGTATTCTCTAGTCTCTATTCTATTCTCTACCTGGAAGCCAATTCCTGTCATTTCCCTGTTCAAAACCCTCCAGAAACTTCCCAACCTACTTACAACGAACTCCAAAGTCTGGTTTGGCCTACAAAGTCTCTAGACCTGACTTCTGCCTATCTCCTACACCTTACTTCTTGTAATTCACTCCTTGTTTGCTGGGCTCCAGCCACTCCCTGGCTATCTTGCTGTTCCTATGAATCACTAAGCTACCTACGACCACAGGGCCTTTGCACTTGCCATCCATCTGCCTTGCCTCTTGTTTCTGCTTAAAAATGAACTCCTTGAGAGACATCCCTGTCTAAAATGGTTATCTTCTCTACGCCCCATAAATCTACAAACTCTTACCCTATTTTTCTCCTTTGCATTTTATTTCCACCTGAAAATATATTATTTATTTATTCACTGGTTTGATTTTTAGTTTCTTTCCTAGAATGGAAATGCCACGAGGGTAAGGACTTTGTATTGTTGTCTCTGTAGCCCCAGAACCTAGAATAGTGCCTGGCATGAGAAAGACAACCTATATTTATTGACTGGTTGAGAGAATAAATAATGTACTAAAATGAATAAAGGGATTTCTAAGTGCAGGCATGGTGCCCAGACTAGAGTCATTTCACTTAATCCACAACAGCGAAGTGCCCACAAGTCTACCTCCATTTTCGGGGTTGAGAGGGAGCACTGAGGGCCTGTGCCTCCGTTTCTCCTAAAAAGGCAGATTCCAGCATCTGGAAAGATGTGGTTGCTGGGCGGCAGCCAGTCACCTCAGTGCCCAGGCCTCGGAGTGGGTGTGTGACGCAGGCTAATCAGACCCTTTCTTGGGTTGTCCACCTTGAAACAGCGGAAGTGAGCCTTCTCCCTCCAGGGTGGAGCCGGCAGCTCCAGTCCCAGCTCCTGACAGCACCAGGCAGAGACAGCAGAGACACGCTGGGGACAGAATCTCAACGGCGTTCAAGCCCCTGGCTCCTCCAGCTCACCCCAAGGCACCCCGCCCCACCCAGTGCAGTTGGATGAGTCCATAAATTTCCATTTCTGCCCAAATAAATTCAAGTCGAGGGTCTGGTACTGAAAACCAAGTGTTGAGACGAAAGCAAAGACAATGCAAATGCTCAGACTCGCAGACTCGGAGCTCCCTGAGCTCCAGCAACAACGTGACCAGCGAAGAAAAGACAGAGCCTGCAAGAACCGGCGTGGTGTTTCCACCGCCCTCCTCCCGTGGCTGTGACGTCTCCCAGCCGCACCTCGGTCCCCAGGCCCACCACAGGCTGACCCAGAGTGACCGAGTCACTTACCTGGGAAAGCGCACCCCCACGGCAAACACAGTGACACCTCTTTCCTGCAGCTGCTTGGCCGGCAATGCCACATGTCCTTGGGACCTCCCGTCAGTGATGATGATGAGGACCTGGGGCACAGAGGCATTTCTGCCCCCGGGGAGCCCTTGGCGCAGAAAGTATTTCAGAGCGAGGCCTGTCTCTGTGCGTCCTCCTCTGAGCTCACACAGGAGGAAAAACAAAGTAAGAATCAGTGCTCCAGAGAGGTGAAGTCAGAAGACAGCCTGAAACAATAGCTCCTCCGTTAGGGATAGCGGCCACGTTCGGCCACGTTCAGCCATGTTCGGCCATGTTCGACCACATTCTCCTGGCCAAGGCTCAAGGCGACTACTCTACCCTGAGAAATGTACTCCTCACCCTCTCAGCCACAGTAGTGACGACCAGAAATGAACGTTTCCTGTGATCTTATGATGCACCCTGCACAGCCCTGTTGTTTAGGTAACAATGTCACTCTGGGTCTTCCCCAGGGATTGCTCAAGGCTAACAACTCCCATCACCTGTCTGACACCCACCTCTCATCTCCCCACCCCTGCATCATTCCCTTCCTTTTGTGACTCGACATCAACTTGGGTGGGAGAGCAGATCCAGAGCTGAGTAAGAATTCAGGAGAGTGAAAGACAGGGCTTTGCTGCGAGGGTCCGATGGGGGTCCTTCCACGGCCACGTGCAAGTTCAGGGTCAGGTGGTGAAAAGCTGACCCGTTTGACTGCTTCCAGGTCAGGGCAGGTTACATGGTCCCATCTCACTGGGATGCTAAGAGTCTGTAACCCTACAGCCCAGTTACAGGGACTGTCAAGGAGCTTGCAATCCCAGCGCAGAATCTCTACTAAATCTCACAACAGGAGGCTCGTACAAGTCCTCAGAGGGAGGCCTGCTGGCTCAGTCAACTTAGCAGAAAATAATGACTCCCTACAATGGACCTTAGGCCAACTTTCAGGGGACGGTAATATATCCAAACATGAGTAATTAACTCCATGCACAGCGAAAACCCTGTCAGATCATCATTCTGAAATCTAACTAATCAGACTATAGACTGGGGGAGGGGGGCACATTTATACCCATTACAGTCCGAGCATATATTAAGGCAATGCCTGCCTTTAATCCACCTCTCTCAAAGGAGCCTCTAACATGAAAATATCCAACTGCCAATAGACACGGGCATAGTCTTTGTGTGTGTGCGTATGTTTTTGCATATGTGCACGCATGTATCGATGTATATATGTCTTCAACACTAAAAGTGCTGATTTCTCCCGGAGTCTGCCACGGGTCTTCCTGCCCAGGCACCTCTTCGGGTTTGCTCCCCTCCAGGCGGCCACTCGGGGGTCTGGGCTCCTCTCGCGTGTGGTTCCACCTTCCTCTCAGTCCTCAACGTCCTCTCCCCTCGGCACGGAGGAGAGGACAGAGCGTGGGGCCTACTGCCTGGGGAGGGTTTATGAATCAGGTGTAGAAGCTTCTTCAATTTTATTCTCTTTGTTCATAGAATAAAATGGAGCTCCACTGTTAATAATGTCAACCAGAGTGGACAACTCCTAGAATTAAGACCCCTGGCCTACTACGGATCAGGGTCTGTGTCAATGAACAAGCCACTTACTGTTTCCGACCCACTGGTATTTACTGTGGACCCACTGGGTGGAAGACAGCGAAAGGGAGACCAGGAAGCCTCATACAATCTCACCCCTCAGAGGACGGTCCGTCGAGGTGACTAAATACGGCCCACAGACAAGTAACAAATATCAGTGAGAGGACAAAAGGGAGAGAAGGGGTCCGTGTGGAGAGGAACTATCGGGGAACAAGTTCCAGAGGGGAAGGTGTCAGAACGGGGTCTCGGTGAACCAGCAAACGAGGGAAAGAGATAGCCGTGCCAGTCGGGGAGGGGTGGACGCGAAGGCTCGTGAGCAGAGCTTGGCGTGTGCGATGAGTTAACCAGGGGAGCAGAGCGCACCCACAGGGCGAATCCCAGTCGCCCCTAACTCCTCTTCCTGCGCTAGACCGGGCGTTAGGCACCAAGTCCATTCTGATTCCCAGGAACACTGCAACCTTCACCAAAGTTCTTGTGTCTGCAAAGTCCTCTTCCTGGAAGAGAGGCTGTCTCCTGTTTCCAAAGGGCAGTATTAGCACCGAGCTACCCCTCTGTGCCAGACACCTCGCCTTCCTGCTACTGACCAGTTCTAATCCTCACAACTAGGATGAAAGGTGCTCAGATGATCCTCCTTCAACATGTGAGGAAACCCTGATCAGAGAAAGAATAGTACTGACAGCTGCTAATATTTCCTGGGCACTTACCGTGTGTGGGGCACCACGGTGTTAAGAGTACGCGGGAGTGTGTGCACGTGTGTTTGCGCATGTACACAGGTGCTCAGCTCGTGTGATTTTCGCCACGGTGTGGAGACGGACAAACACAGGGAAGGGCCTCCTCTGAGGTCAACAGCTCACAGGCGGACCCTCCTGGCCAGAACCAAGCTCTTCACCAGAGCATTCTCAGCACCAGCCGTCACCTGTCTCTCACCCAGCCAGAGGAGGTCCGACTGGAGTTGATACCCAGTCGTGCTGGTTGCAAAGCCAAGGATCTTCCCTCTCCTGCGGGCCAAAACCGGCCCTCTCCCAGTTTCTGTAAATAACATTTCGGGGGAAACAGCCACGCCTGTGCACTTCTGCGTGGTGGCCTGCAAAGCATGAAATATGTACTGTGCTGTCTTAACTGAAAACGTTTGCTGACCTAGTCTAGACTGTTCTACCCAAAGCCAAGGTGCCCAGAGGCCACGGAGGCCCTGTGCCTTCGGGCCCCTGGCAACGTGCCCATGCGTTTCCTGGCTGTGGTTAGAGAGAAACTGAGTTTGAAGGACAGGAGAGCCCAGGCCCCCAACGCCACTGGTCTGTGAGGTGTCCGCCTTTCACATCACTCAGCACACAAATGCCTGGGCCCCCACCCCCTCCACCTCTGACCCGATCGGGCCTCTCCCCTTGGAACACTGCTGGCTTCCGACGGAGGTCGGGTGAGATTCCTAACCGCTCTGACCTCTGGGAAACGAGACGAAACCTGCTGCCTCTACTTTTCCTAACTCCATGGAGTGTTTCTATCTGTTCTGAGCTCAGAATCTGGCTCCAGGCAGAGCAGTCTAAGGCCAGAAGCTCACCAAGACTTTGCTAATTTCTCTCAAGGGACGAGGTTGAAAGTAAAGGGTCACAGATCAGCTACTGTCTGGGATGTCATCATTGCACAGCATGGGCGCATGTGTGCATGTGTGCGTGTGTTTTGTGTGTGTGTGTAGGGGATTAAGCAGCTAAACACTTTGCTACTGGTGTGGTCAAGTGATGAAGAACATGGGCTCCTGAGTGAGCAGGGCTCAAATATTAGTCCTGTGATAAACTAGCCATGTAAACTTGAAAAAGTTACTTAACCTGAGACTCAGTTTCCTTCCCTATTAAAGTAGGGAAAGTAACAGTATTGTCTGAGGATTAATGCTGTGCCCAGCACCTCCCAGGACCTAGTGAGCGCTCCATCAGTGTTAATTATCTGAATGAACCAACTAGCAGCCTATTCCAAGCAGCATGGAAATCCCTCAGGAATCCCTTAGAGTCTCAGATCCTATCCTCAGAGCATCCAACTTGGTAGGTGTGAGCAGGCCTGAGAATCTACATTTAAAGCCAGCCTCCCTTCCCCCAGTGATTCCGATGCGCGTAGTCCATGGAACAGACTGTAAAAAATATTTCATAAGAAAACTCACTGTGGGTATAGAAATGTTGATTGCAGCTTTCTTTCCTTTTTCTTTTTTTAAGCAATTGACAAAAATCCTGGAATCACCCCAAGTATGTCCTTTTAGGGGAATGATTTAATACACTGTGATAGCTGAATTCACTGGATTATTATATAACCATTAAACGGGATCAACATGAAAAATAATGCAGCTTTATGCAAAAATACATACCAAATAATATTCAGTTAAAAATGAGCAAAATGCTTTGTAATTACAACTATTCTAAAAGCCACATTTAAATGCTAATGCGGTTTGAGATTGGCCAGAGGAGGCTCTAAGAGGCTTTGAGCTAAGGCAAAGTGGTGAATGCTATTTCTGTAGAGCTATCTAAACACAGTAAAAACTCTGATAAAGCTGTAGATGGGGTCCCAAAAAACTCAATCACAGAAATCCCAGGGTTGTGTTACGGGGAGATCAGTGAAATGACTGAGTGAGCCTGCCCAGCCAGCTGGCCGGGAGTACTGGACATTCAGAGCCAATTGCTGGCATGTTTCATCTGATGTTCTGTTATCACGGGGTACAATATGAAAAGGCTTGGCTGTAATATTTTTTGAACTTCTTATTGCTAAGTAGCAATAAGGTGATTGTCAGGGTGGTTTCTTAGCCACCTCAAAAAAACACTTTTAGGGAATCGCCTTGGTCTACAAAGACAAGTGTTCTGAGTTTTAGGTAAAGTTGTTCCCATCAGTCCAGCATTTAAAACATCGCTATAGAAAAAGGATAAAGAGCCCTGGGGAGGTCATCGTTCCTATTCGGCCAACATTCCTCTGCTCTGATTAATAATAGTGTCTTAATGTTCAGTGTCCTCAGTGACCCCAGAACTGTGGCCCAAAAGTTAGTTACTGCCACCTTGCCCTGTTTGCTGCTGTTTCTTCCGATTACCCGAGGATACACAGTGCTAACCGTACACGTCCCCTAAAAGAAAGCTGACCTTGTTCAGACACACGAAGAGGCTCCGTTCTCCACCTCCAGTGTTCTCATCTGGCACACTCCTAATGCGTCTCTGTATTTCATATGTCATGAAGGACACTCTCCAGCCCTGAGTGATGACTTTCACCACAGCTGAGAAGAGGCTCCACCAACTATGTAGGGATGGGGGAGGGGGGAGGGAGGGGGAGGGGCAGGGCAGGACAGCTGGGTGGGGCCTACTGGACGAGCAGCGTGACTCGGGTCCTGGCCAAGCCACTGGTCCTTCTCAACCTCAGCATCCTCCCTCCATAAAATGGAGAGTTGGAATAGACACTAGATGATCTCTAAAGTGACTTTATGAACCAATTTGCCTAGTTTTTTTTAGAAGAGAACAGGGCCAAATCATTTGAGTCAAAGTCACCCAAACAATTTTTCACTTTCAGTCCTAAACTTGATGCAACAGGCTGTTTTTTCCCCTGCAAATGTTAGTGCACATATAGTAGATATAAAGTTTTTATGATAACTAGGTATATTAATAATAATATAATTAATATACAATAAAATTGTATATTAAAGTATAAAATTCAATAGTTTTTAGTACATTTACAGAATTACACAACCATCACCATTATATAAGTCAAAACATTTTAATTACCCCCAAAAGAAGCCCTATACCCATTAGCAGTTGCTCCCCGTTCCCCCTCCCTACAGCCCCTGGCAATGGCTGATCTACTTTCTGTTTCCATAGACTTGTCGATTTCAGACATTTCAAGTAAATTAAATTATACAATATGTAACTTTTATGTCTGCTCCTTTCACTTAGCATAATATTCTCAAGGTTCATCCATGTTGTAGTATTAATCATGCCATGATCCCTTTTTAGGGCTAAATAATATTCCATTGTATGAATGTACCACATTTTGTTTATCTATTTTCACTTTTGTGTTATTCCCAATTTTTGCCTATTATAAATAATGCTGCTATGAACACAGGGTATATGGTTCTGTGTGGGCATGTGTCTTCAATTCTCAAAGTTGCAGGGTCATATGGTAACTCTATGTTTAATACTTTAAGAAACTGCCAAACTGTTTCTCAACATACCTGTATCAATTTATAATCCCACCAACCATGTATGAGTGTTCCACTTCCCTGTCAAGACTTGTTATTGTCTGTCTTTTATTTTAGCCTTCCTAGTGAGTATAAAGTGGTATTTTATTGTGTTTTTTGTTTTTTTTTTAATCCTTGCCAAGGGTATTTTTACATTTATCTTTAGACAGAGTGGGAGGGAGAGAGAGAAATATCGATGCGAGAGAGACACATTGATTGGTTGCCACCTGCGTGGCCCCAACTGGGGCCAGGGACTAACCACAACTGAGGCATGTGCCCTTGGCTGGAATCGAACTTGGGACTCCTTGGTCAGCAGGCTGATGCTCTAATTGCTGAGCCAAACTGGCCAGGGCTGATTGTGGTTTTAATTTGCATTTTCTTAATGACCAGTGATGTTGAGTATTTTTTCATGGGCTTATTGGCCATTTATATATCTTCTCTGAAGAAATGTCTAATTAAAAGATTTCTTTTGGGGATGGTGAAAATGTTCTAAAATTAGATCATGGTAATAGTTGCATAACCGAAAATATACTCAGAACCACTGACTTATAAAATGTGTGAACTTTATGGTATTTAAATTATATCTCCATAAAGCTGTTTATAAAAAGTTCGTGTGTGTAACAGTCCCAGGGCGGGGGTAGTGGGGAGAAACCTTTCTAAAGTGCAGATGGTAAACATCCCTGCCCAGAGGTGATCAGTAGGCCTGGGAGGGGGCCAGGCCCCTGCATTTGAACAGACTCCCTCAGCAGTGCCGACCCAGGTGCTTCTAGGATCCCACCACGACAAGTCTGCTCTGGCTGTCTGGGCCCAAGAACAAGAGCGAGGCTACGACCTCTTCCTACAGGAAACCATTCTTGGGGGCCTCAAGGGTTGAGGGCTCTGAGGGAACAAGGAAAGGCCAGTGTAGTTTTAAAAAATATATATCGATGTGCATTTTCCCTTTTGACTTTCTTAGATTTGACTGGCCCGCCTCTGTTCGGGGCCCCCGTGGGCAGAGGAAAGGCCCGAGACAGACAGCCGGGGGAGAGCCACTGCAGGGCCCCCTAAGTCTCTGCTGTGCCAGCGCGGGACTCGGGCTACTGAGAGCCTGCAGGAGCTGTGCCGGCAAAACGGACCCCAGTGCTCGGGGCCTTTGCAAGTGAGGTGACACCGGAAAGCGGCTGGGAGCGCACACTGCTGCGGACACTAGTGCAAGGACAGCAGAGCCCAGAGTGACAAGTGGCAAGTTAGAGACAGTCTTCTGGGAGGGCTTATAAACACTATTGTGTGTGTGTGTTTGTGTGTTGTATGTGTATATATGTGTTGTAAGTGTGTATATACGTGTATATATGTGTGTTGTGTGTATGTATGTGTGTATAACATTCATACAGAGGTACATGTTTACATATATATGTAATACACACATAAAATATTTACACAAGCCCAGCTGGTGTGGATCAGTGGATTGAGCGTCATCCTACGGACTGAGAGGTCCCGGTTCGATTCCTGGTCAGAATACATGCCCGGGCAGCTGGCTTGATCCTCCGTAGCGGGTGTGCAGGGGGCAGCTGATCGATGTTTCTCTCTCACATCGATGTTTCTCTCTCTCCAAAAAAATCAATAAAAACATATTTCAAGCTTGGCAGGTGTGGCTCAGTGGTTGAGTGTTGACCCATGTACCAAGAGGTCACTGGTTCGATTCCTGGTCAGGGCACATACCCAGGTTGTGGGTCAAATCCCCAATGGGGGGCATGCAGGAGGCGGCCAATCAATGTTCTCTCTCATCGATGTTTCTATCTCCCTCTCCCTTCCTCTCTCTCTCCGCTGACCTGTAATGTAAGTGGTCATGGCCCCACTACATACACACATGTACAGGGTGTGTATGAGCACACAAACAACCCTTCGGCACTCTCAGTAACAAAGGAGGACTTCTCTCTGTAGACAGACCACGGAAACAGGCTGGGACCAGTACGGACTCCCCGAGGGGCAGTGGTCACCAGGAACAGAAGTGGGGGAAGAGCCAGTGTTCTTCCCAACACTTGCTCTTACTCCCAGCCTCGACCTGCACTGGCCCTTCCCCGGTAACTGACAACACACATAATAGCAGCAAATGCTTTTTAAAACTTTCATTCGAGTCCCCACCTGGGGCAGCATGTGATAACAGGGGCAGCCTGGAGAAGCGGCTCTCATTACCCTCTAAGCCCAGCTGGGATTCTGGATGCCCCGGCCCTCTCCCGGAGGCCAAGAGCAGGGTCAAACCCTTCGAGGGAAATTCTAAGAGCAGCTAACACATCCTACCCAGGGCAGAATCCGAGCATACATACTTGAAAACCATCCTCTTGAGTTCTGTCTTCACTTCCTGTTGGGTGGACAATGCGTCCAAGGGGAATTCCAGCCAAGGAGCAGAACTGAACTGGACCGCTCCCACCCTGACCTGCAGGGGGAGACAGAGGGCCCAGGGGTTGAGAGTGGGGTCAAGGCACAGACATTCCTAAGAGGGAAAATAGGACGAGAAAGGTTAACAACCCTGCCTCCTGCCCACTCAGCGAATCCCAGGGCCAGAGCCTTCTCTGGCCTTCCTAAGGAAAGGCCCCAAAGGCCAGGAGCAGAACCTGGAAGGACACAGTCGACGGCCTGTGTCCCGCACTGAAAACCACCCCTTACATATTCTCGACTCCCACGCAGGCATTTCACTCGGCTGAGCTGTGGGCGTCTTTAGGGGCAGGGTCCCTGCTCCCATGGACCGAATGCCTGCCAGGAGCAGGCCCTGTTTTAAGCCATCTCGCATTATTTCATTTAATCCAGAGGCACGAGTGGCGCCCACACTGCTGCTGGAGAAACTTGGTTGCGGAGGGGTCAGCCCTTCCAAGCCTGTTCCTGCCATGCGAGGGAAAGGCCAGCTCTCCGGGCCAGAGCCAGATTGGGGGACAATCAGCACCCTAAACCGAGACAAGCAATACGGAAGTGCCCCTGTCAGTAGGAGCCACTGGTGATTCCAAACAGATGCTGCGTCCTAATTGAGGAGGTCATATGAGAAACCCAATGCCCTGCAAGACTGGAGAAGGAAAACTGAGCAGTCAGTACCTGGACGCCTCAGACACCAGGGTGCCTCAAGCAGAGCAGGCCGTACACGTTTAGATCTCTCGATGGTCCCGTCCCTGACCCTAATCATTGGCTCTCTAAAACCCCTGGAAAAACTACCTTCTAGGTGACTAGTCTCCTAATGAACCCTACTTCTGGCCAAGATTGCAAACAAGCCAAGTGATTCATATTTAAGCAACGCTGCTGCCTTTTGCTCGCGACTTGAATTCCTTCACTGCTGATGCCTTAGCAGGCCTGCTGACTGCAGATGATCGAAGCGCTCGCCTCGCCAGGTGGGCTGCACCTGCTCCCAGGGAGCACAGCCCACCGGACTTGCCTCCCACAGCGAGTTCCGAGGAGGGCCCACTGGGCTTCTTAAGTAGGAAGAAATCTTGGGTGGGCACGTGGGGGAAGTGGACCCTGGAAAGCAGAGGAGGAGAAGCTCACAAAAAAGTTTCTGAGAAGTGACGCTTTTGAAGTCTCCCTTGAATTTAGTCTGTGATAAAGGCGGCATCTCAAACCAGTGGGGGAAAGCCTGGTCTAGTTACTAAGTACTTTGGGAACAACTGGATAAACCTGCAAAAGGATAAAGGCTACATGGCAAATAGATTCAAGATTTAAATGTGAAAAATATGACCATAAAAGTTCTAGAAGAAAACGTGGGAGAGTTCCTTTAAAACCTCAAGGTAGAAAAGACCTTATTGTGACTAAAAAATCCAGACACCATAAAGGAAAGGTCGATACATCTGACTGCATAAAGAAAACTTCTGCAGGGCAACACATAACAAGAGCCAACCGAAAAATGGAAACATTATTTTCAATTCATGTCAGACACAAAGGGTTAGTTTCCCCAATATATAGAGTGTCTAGGAATTGATGTGTAAAAGACCAACAACCCAACAGAAAAATGGGCAAAGGATATGAACAGAGATCAAAAACAGGAAATACAAATGGCCCTTCAATATACGAACAGATGACCCTGGCCAGTTTGGCTCAGCCAGCAGTTAGAGCAAAGGTCCGCAGACCAAAGAGTCGCAGGTTCAATTCCAATCAAGGGCACGTACCTCAGTTGCGGTTTGATCCCCAGCCCTGGTTGGGGTCATGCGGGAGGCAACCAATCGGTGTGTCTCTCTCACATCGACGTTTCTCTCTCTCCCTCCCTCCCACTCTATCTGACCATCAATGGAAAAATGTCCTCGGATGAGGAGTAAACAAAAAAAAAAGTGTATATATATATATATATAAAAACAGATGTTTAAAGGCACCACACTGAGATGTAGCAAAAAGCCAGATACGTTTGCAGGGGGTAACCAGCATTCTCAAACTTCACTGGTGAGAACATAAATGTCACAGCATCCAGGGGCGCAATTTGTCAATATTTATTGAAAATTACAAATGCTTAATGCTATTGGGAATTCATCCTACAGATATACTTCCACGTGCATAAATGACATATTTACAAGCTCACAGTGTATTTGTAATAGCAAACATCCATCAAAAGGAGTTTGGTTAATTAAACATTGGTAAATCCTTACACTGCAACATTCATCAGCTATAAGAGAAAATATATACCTATATTAATATCTACATTACCTAGATATCTAGATATGGAAAGACTTCCAAGACAATGGAAGAGAATAAGGTAGGGAACACAATAGTATCACCTGCTGCTCTCAGTATACAAAGCGGGAGAATAAGGGCATGTACTCCAGTGCTTGCATTTGAATGAAGCGATTCTGCAAGGATGCTCAGGAAAGCAGGGACCAAGCAGATGGAAAGTGTGTGGGTAGGAGGGTCACTTTTCACTAGATGTCTTTTTTATTGAACCATGAGAATGAATTACTTAGTTTAAAAACAAAACAAAAAACCTCCCTTGAGACCAACAGCTGGGTGTATTTACTTCAATTAAACAGGAAGGAGACAACTTCAAAACAAAACAAGATGCAAACAGCCTGAGTCAGTAGTTAATGCATTTCATTTAATTGGTGGTTTGGGAGCAAACGGGTTGCCTTTTATCTTCAGAAGCAAGCCCGCCCAGACTTCTCACCTCCCGCTGTAATCATTATATTACAGCCAGGAAGTGAACTTCTCGGCTTGCTTTTTTTCTTTTCTTTTTTTTTAACTTCTCAGCTTTTAAGTATTGAGGGGAAGACTTCAAACACCTTAAATCCACCTCAACAACAGAGCCTCCATAAAAGCCTTAATTTATAGCGACTTGAAAATTTCTCCCTGAACACTGAAGTTCTAGAAAGTAAAATCTCTTGTACATGGGGTCCACAAGAAAACAAAAATGCAGCAGCAAGAACATAAAACCTGAAGCCACAAACCAGATGGAACCGTCTGAGATCACCTTGATGCAGAAAGTCCTCCGCTAGCATGCCAGCAAGTCTCGTGGACCACGTGTGGGCACCCACTGAAAGAGACCCCCGACTCCTCTGCGCAGCAAGTCTGGCTGTGAGAACGTTTTTCTCTGGCCAAGCCCACATGTATCTCCCTCCACACCCAGCCTCTGCCTTCTTAAGAAAACGGAGCCACTCTGTACCCTCTTTCATCTAAAAATGAAATCAGGTTCCCTCATACATGGACATTTCCAGACCTCTCACTATCTCACTCCTTGTCATGGGCACTGTCCGGTTTGCCAATATCTCACCTAAGACGGCCACGTTCTAGATGTGGCCAGGCAACACTGAGATTCAATTTCCTGAACTCTGGGGCCCTGTGGGTTGGGACAGCCGCTCCCAACAGTACCAGCCATGAAGGATTTTGTTTCTCTTTGAGGGTCCTGAATTCCACCAGCACCCCCCACTTCCATGTACATACATACACGCACAACCCAGACACCCAGATACACAATGCCATGTTGTCCACTTCCAACATGAGAGCAAAGGGTGAAGTCTGAGTCTCATCACCCCACCCTAGCCCAATGGGTAGGGACAAATGACCTCACGAAAGAAATCCTGAGCGATCATCAAGAGCTCCACTTCTTCCACACGCAGCTCTCTTCTAAGATTGCTGTGTGACTCTGGGCAGTCACTTAGCCTCTCTGAGCTTTCTCCCTCATCTGTACACATTCTCTCATAATCCATTCAGTTCTTCTCTCCCAACTTGCCACCCACGTCAGGACATCCTACATCAATGCCAAGGTCAAAAGTGTTGTACCTTTATGGCAAGACTGCCTGAGGTCCAGGGCAATGTGCTCAATCTCACCAAACGACATGCTATTCTGGAGAAAATCTGGCCACCATAAAAGGCCACTTTCGCTCCTGAATCCTAGTGGTGTTCCTGGGATTAACCCAGGAATGTTATCTTGGAACACCATCTGTGGGAATCTATTTAGAATAAATGACTGGGTGAAAGGGTCCAAGCCTTTGTAACTGTGACAGACACTGTGGGATTCCCCCTTAGAGAGGCTGCACATTCCCACCAGCAGTGTGTGAGAATGTCAGTTTCCTGTAGACTTGCCAAAGCAGCATGTCACCAAACTCTGGATTTTTGCTAATCCAGTAAGTGAAAAGCGGTACATACGTCGGATTTTGCTATTACATTGAGTGAGGTGGTTGGGCATCTTTTCATATGTCCACGGGCAATTTGTGTTTTGTTTTCTGCGAACTGTCTGTGTATGTTCATCGCCCATTCTCCTATGGAGTTATTCCAAAATGCTCCTTTCAGCCACGAGAGCCACCGCTAGCAAACTTTGCTGATACTTAAAACCTACTGTCTGGAGCCAGAAAGAACAAGAAATGAACATACTGGCTGGATTCACTCAGGCAGTAGTTCCTCTGAAGTGAAGAGAGAGGGTAGGAGCTGTGATCTGTGCTGAGATTCTAGTCTCAGGAGGTAGTTAAATGATTTCTCTTTCTCACTGTTGTACAGACACAATGTCTTTCTAGTGGAAAGACACGTATTCACCACCACCTCATGAACATGGATGAGCACCTGCCTCAGGTCTGGCCAGACAATCTCTTCCCTTGAATTACTGTGATTGGTTAAGGGATTGTCATGTGACCTGCACCTGCCCAATCAGAGCCCTCCCTGGGACTTTTTCTGTCAGATGCAGGGTAAAAAGTCCACTTCCTTTTTACTGGTGTCACTAGCTTAAAGGACAATGCAGGGCAGCTTTGCTATGTGTGGAAAACCTGCCTGAGAAGGAAGCCAACTGTTGTAAGAAAAACTGAAAGAAGAAGAGAGGGACTGAGCCCTTGGATCCTACGGCCCCTGCAATGACGATTCACCACCTTGGTCTTCCCGCGTCCTCAGGCTAGTAAATGCCCTCTTCTGCTTAAGATTGGATTTCTGTCCCTTAAAACCAAAGACACTCTAAATATAAGGAGAGCAAGACTTGCACTCACCCTCTCAGGGTTGATGTCCAGCGCGTCACAGACTGTGATGGCAAAGTGCTTGGCCCTTTCAAAGCTCCCTTTCCCGATGCTGTGAGAGCCATCTATCAAAAACAGGACATCCACCGCAGCTGAGCACCACATAACTGGGAGAGGGGGACAGATGGGTGACAATCAGCTTCCTTGCAGTCTGGTCCCAAGAGGGTCTCACTCCCAAAGCAGAGAGGAGGCAGAAACAACCCTGTGGTAGGTCTGTTGCTGCTCCTCTTAGGTCAATGAAGGAAGTAACACTGGAAAAGTCCAGGCAAGAGGCAGCCCCTCTTCAGCGGGAAGAACACCCACATGGACACGATGCTCCTCAAGAGGCCCCTCCGTGAAAGTCTGATAATGGAAGAGTCTAAGCCAAAAGCACTGACTGAGCCATGGCAGCAGGGCCATCGGGCCCTGGGCCAGTGAGGAATACTGAAGAGCCGTGGTCCCAACCCTCCAGGGCCACAGTCCAGTCTGGGACACAGCCAGGCCCCCTGGTACACGAGGTCACGTTACCCATGAGCCCGAGTAGTAACAGCAGCTCCGACTGCGACCTCCCCCGTACCAGGTGCTGCTTTAAACACTTCACACGTACTGTGCACTTCGTTCTCACATCCACCCTTAGAGAACTGTTTTTTAAAACTGTTAAACAGTTGTATTGAGGTATCAGTCACACATCATATAATTCGCCCATCTAAAGTATATAATTCAATGGTTTTGAGTATATTCACAGAGGCATTCCATCATCACCTCAGGCCATTTCAGAACGTTTTCCAACACCTCACTGAGAAACCCTGTACCCATTAGCCATCGGCTCCCTAGCCCCGCATCCCTACCCCTAAGTGTTTGCGATGTTATTCCCACTGGAGAGAGGAGGAAAGCAGGGCACAGTGACATTCCTAAGGGCAAATAACAGGAGGCGTGGAGCCAGGGATGAAGTCGAGGCCGTGTGGCTGCACAGTTCAAACCACACCTCACTGTGAAGACACAGAAGCGGAGTCAGAGAAGCACCGGTCACAGGGTGCCACCCGGAAGGCAGCAGACGAATGGGTTCCACCAGAGAGGGAGGGAAGGGGTGCGCAGGGCCTGGGAAGGGGATGCACGCGCAGGGGATGCTGGGCAGGGCGGAAGAAGGAGGAGTATGGTAGCAGATGGGACTGGTTGCATAGACAGTGGTCACTGACAGAACCATCAAAGTGTAGGCCAAAAAATATGGGAACAGGTGAAATGAGTCAGTCACGGAAAGGCAAGTACCACATGATTTCACGTATATGTAGAATCTAAAGAACAAAATAAATGAACAAACGAAACAGACTCATAGATTCAGAGAACAGACTAGTAGGGGGCTGGGGGACCGGGTGGAAAAGGTGAGGGGACTGAGAAGCACACAATGGTGGTTACAGAACAGTCACGGGATGTAAACTATAGCGCAGGGAATACGTATAATCAACAACACCGTAATAACTGTGTACGGGGCCAGGCGGGGGCTGGAAACATCGGGGGGACAATTTGTCAAGTGTATGATTGTCTAACCACTGTGCTGTACACCTGAAACTAATACAAAATAATATTTAAAGTAAAGTGTAATTAAAAATTTAAAAATAGCCGGGCAGGTGTGGCCCAGTGAATTGAGTGTCACCCCCTGGACTGAGAGGTCCTGGTTGGATTCCCGGTCATGGCACATGCCTGGGTTGCAGGCTTGATCCCCAGTAGGGGGCGTGCAGGAGGCGGCCAATCAGTGTTTCTCTCTCACGTCAATGTTTCTCTCTCTCTCGCTCTTCCTCTTTCTCTAAAATTAAAAAAAAAAAAATCAATAAAATATATATATTTTTTAAATAAATTTTAAAAATTTGAGACAGAAAGTTAACAACAGGGATGTACCAAGGGTTTTTACCCGACAGAGACTTAGTGGGCCCCTGTTTTGGGAAAATGACTCTGGCCACAAGGGAAAGGGAGTGAGGCGGAAACAGTCTGGAGTAACGTGATTTCCCTCGGGTGGGTCACAGAGGCCGCAGTGGGGGCTTAGAGGGTTGAATAAAACATGGACTTACTTTTGCTGGCGGCTGAAATCTTCCCAAGGGTCTCCCTGCTTACTTGGACTTCCTGAAGAGGGAGGGATGGGGGCACTAGGAGAGAAGATACCAGAAGCAGTCATTACAAGGCAGAGAGGTGAGGAGTCTTAGTCTCTACATTACGTGACCAGAGCAAACAGGGGATAAGAAATAAACAGGAATGTGAGGAGTTTAATGATACTGTATCTCAAAAATTACTAGAAGGACCCCCCCCCCACCACCACCACCAATCACCCCTCTGGTGTCAGGTACCTTTGTATTTAATTTGAGAGAAAAATTAATATACACAGAGTCTGGAGAGAGCCTGTGATTCAAACAAGTTTTGCCCTGGTTGGGTATAATCACTGGGTTCTCTGCTGACTGACACAGAAATTAACCCTGGATGTGAACAGGTGACTCAGAAGAAGGAGAATTCACAGAAAAGCACAATGAGAAAATGTTTTAACTCCTACAATGGGATACCATTTTAAATATAATTGGGAAAAGCTTACTTAGTTCAGGAAAAAAATCTCCAGTAGTGGCATGGTAAACTGGTACCACCCTTTTGAAAAGTAATTTGGCCAAATAAATTAAGCATCTTAAAAATGCCTACATCCTGCCTTGGCTGGTGTGTTCAGTGGTTAGAGCATTGTCCCCCACACCCAAGGGTTCAATTCCCAGTTGGAGGTTCGATCCCCAGCCCTGGTTGGAGTCATTTAGAAGGCAACCAATTGATGTGTCTCTCTCACATCGATGTGTTTCTCTCTCTCTCTCCAATTCTCTCCTTCACTTCCACTCTCTCTAAAAATCAATGGAAAAATTATTCTCGGGTGAGGATTAACGACGACAACAAAAAAGACTTATATGTTCCATAATGTTACAAGGGTATAAAAGTACTGGTTCCGCCCAGCTTGCCTCATCTGTACAACCCAGGGCGGTCAGATCAAGTGTTCTGTGACATGGTCAGGCCACACGAGAAGTTCTAGGATGAGCTGGAGCAGGGCTTCACTGGGCCTCGGGGACCACAGTCAGACCCTGTAGCCAAACATGTCTCCTCTCCCCCCAACACCTTGACCACAAAGTCACTGAGTTACACTGTCTACCTGCACAGTTAAAGGGGAAACAGGTGAGCTAAGCAACCACCCTCCTCTCCAGCCTCTCTCATGTCCCGCAGGCTCTGGGGACAGGCGGTGGTGACAGCCGCCACTCAGCAGAGAGTACACCTGCTCTCTGAAACACAGACCAGGGCGGAACTGCAGGAGAGAAGCTCAGAGACAAGTGACTCCCGAGCGAGACGCGGACAGCCGGCCACCCTGTCCACAACCGCAAAACACACCTATTCCTCCTACCACCTCCCATCTCAAAGAGGCCAGGGCTTGGGAGGGACAAAGTGAGAAGTAAAAAGAAAACTGATTTGTTCCATTATTCATTCATAAATCTACTTCTTGAGCACCGACTACATGCCAAGCCCAGGGAAGGTGCTGAAATTACACAGTAGTCAGCAAATAAAGACTATGCAGGGTCTCTTTATACCTGATGAAGAAGCTGGACACGGATTCTTTTTTTTTATCCTCACCCAAGGACATTTTTTTATTTTTTGTTCAGGTAGAGTGGGAGGGAGAAAGAGAGAAACATCGACATGAAAGGGACACATCAAGTGGTTGCCATCCACATGACCCAACCAGGGCCGGGGACAAACTGCAACCAAGGTATGTGCCCTTAGCAGGAACCGAACCCAGGTCTCTCTGGACCGCAGGCCAATGCTCTAACCGCTGAGCCAAACCGGCCAGGGCCATTTTTTTTTTTTTAATTCACACAGAAATAAACTCATATCTGTGTTAAGTATTACATAGCAGAGCGACCAAGGCTCCAGGGGATTTTAACAGGGGATCTGACCTGATCTGGGGGTCCAGGAGGAAGTGTGCTGGGTGCTGAAGGATGAGGAGGAGTTTACCAGGGTGGGGGTAAGGCAGGGTGGCCACCATAACTGATAATTCCTAGGGCAGGAGGGAGCAAGCGTGTGGGCAGGAGGGGGTATGGACTGTAGTCCTAAGGGTGGCGGGGACACCAGAGAGGACCAAAAGTGGCTCTGGGGTCAGATAGGCAGGGCCTCCGTGAGCAGTGGGGCATTCCCTAAAAGTTCAGGCAGGGGTGCAAGTGGAGAGGGATCCAGCCATGATCAGATTTGCCTTTTGAAATGGTTGCTGTGCAGAGAATGGGCTGGAGGAGACCCAGGGAGGCCAGTTAGGAGGCTACTGCATTGGTCCAAGCATGAGAGGATGGGGCTTAGACCAGGCAGCTGGCCATGGAGTGGAGACACAGATGCCATCAAGAGACCTTTCGACGTTAAAACTGACAGGATGTGAAGCAAACCAAACCAAACCCCGCAACACTTACCCCCCACCACCAAACTTACCTCCAGCAAACAGGAAAATGTAGATGGCTTCCAGCCACAGGACAGAGGGCATGTTGCTACGACTACAGGACAAGAAAGAAAGCAACAGCGATGATCTCTGTGAGCTCCAAAGTCACACGCCCAAACAAGAGGACAACTACCTAGCCTCCCCCAGGGCACCTGTATCACCCTAGAGGACCCTCCTCGCATAGTCACTACAGTAGCCCGGAGGAGACCCCATTCCCAAAAGCCCTGGGAGACTTTACTCCAATGACTTTGACTTTAAAGAACAGTCTAACATCTTCCCAAGACACCCACCCCCACCCCCACCCCTGCCAGCTCCTCGGAGGACCTGGGCAAGGAGCAAGGCCTGTGTCCTGAATGAACAGATGGGGTCCTGGCTTGAAGATTTGATTACAGTGTCTTCATTTTATGAAACCTGGCAGCCACCAAGCCCGTACTTTCTAACTTATTATAAACAGCACTGTGGCTGAGGAAGAAACACATTTTTAAAGTTTTTTTTATGGCCTAACAATGCTTATAGGATGGCTGAAATTCAGTTCCATGGAGCCTGATTATTGTCGATGTTTGAGGGCAGTATTAGCGTGAAATGTGAGAGCTTTGAACAAGAAACTGCTTGTAGCCATGCGCATTGACCCATGGACCAAGAGGTCACTGGTTCGATTCCCGGTCAGGGCACATGCCCAGGCTGTAGGTCCGATCCCCAGTGGGGGGCATGCAGGAGGCGGCCAACTGATGTGTCTCTATCATCAATGTTTCTCTGTCTCTCTCCTTCTCCCTTCCTCTCTCTCTAAAAATCAATAAAAAATTTAAAAAAACAAAAACAAAACAGCCGGTAACTTGGGTTCGATAAGGGCACACACCTGAGGCGTCCTTCCGATCTCAGCTGCCAGGCCTGGGAAATGACCACTATCTTTTCAGTCACGAGGATCCGATGCACCATTCAGACAATCTTAGGTTCCAGCAGGTGCACAGGTAGTGTAAGAACCGGAAGGGTTTGTACAGAAAGAAATTTAGACTTTTTCTCCCAGTGTCATTTAGCAAGGAAACATCTAAAACTATCATGATAAAAGGGTCTCGAAATCCTATTTTGTGCCCTGTGGGATCCAGTACATTCAAGGTCTCCCTGTTTGGTCTCTCTGCATTAAACGTGCCCTTTAAGAAAAGACTTGGAGCCCTGGCTGGTTTGGCTCAGTGGTTAGTGTCGGCCTGCAGACCAAAGAGTCGTGGGTTCGATTCTGGTCAAGGGCACGTACCTCAGTTGCAGTTTGTCCCCGGACCTGGTCGGGGTCTTGTGGAAGACAACCACTCGATGTGTCCCTCTCACGTCAATGTTTCTCTCCTTCCCTCTCACTCTGTCTGAAGATAAATAGAAAACTATCCTCAGGTAAGGATTAAAAAAAAGAAGAAACAACTCAGAATCCAGAGGATTTGCTGAGCAGGCTGAGAGACAAAGCTGCCTTGAAAATGTAGAGCCTTCTGTAGAGAGGTTTAAAATGACGCGATTCGTGTTCATAAAGCCACTATGGCCAGGCCTCACTTGGAATTACAGAGAAGGCGCATAAACAGAAGGGGCATGCTATGGGGTCAGTGCTTACCCCGACCTGCAGGAACTGGGGACCGAGAGGGTCACGGTACGTGTTAAAGAGGAGACTGGGGGTGAATGGACCATGCACACCTCAGAGATGAATGGACGAGGTCACCGAGGCTCAGAAGAGGGAGGGTCCTGGACAGTCACATAGCTCAAATCTCCAGCTCCTAATTCAATGCACTTTCCCCTAATCTTACCACTTCTGGAGCCAAGGTCAGCTCAGGGGCTTGAGCCACGGCTCAGAACTCCATCCACACTGAGATGGCACCCCTATAAGTGACCAACGGACAGGCAGGGGCCACACTGGCCCGTGGTGGCAGAGAACCTGCACCTTGAACCAGAAGCAGTGTGACCCTGGGAAGGGCCGTGGTTCCTCACTTACAAAACCAGGAGGTTGGGTGTACCAGATGCAGCTAAGGTGTCTTCCGGTTTTAAAAATCCCCTTTGATCTCCCCTCCATCCTGAACCTATGACTCAACTCAGCTCTTTGGATTTCATAACATTTCTGAAAACAAACAATCCCACATCCCAGCCAGCCGAGAGTCTTTGTGCTTCCAGCGATGAGGAGGCTCAGCCTCGCGTCATCCAGGTGAAAACAGGGGATTCAGTATTGCGAGTGGGGAAGTCAGGGGCTCCCCAGGCACCATCCAGGGAGAAAGGTGGACAGAGGGGACACTGGGTGGCTGAGGGGCGGTCACGCCTCCTGCTAGCTTCCAGCCCAGCACACGCCAGCAAGGCACCTCCCTTTCCCCCAAGGACACATTTTCTTTCCTCTTATCCTACACAACAGATGCAGGACAAGTCCCCACCTGCCACCGGGGAGCCAGGCAAAGGCCAGGCCTGGGGGCAAGGGGCAGGGCAGGGCAAGGTAAAGGGCTTCTCGATGCTATCAACTCCTTACATTCAGGACGATTTTTCTGGGGTCACAGCTTCTGACCTTGGGCACACGCAGCACTCTGAGGCTCAGGCCTGTTAATTTTTTTATAAAAACAGGATTCTAGCAGCCTCCCAGGCAGCCGTGAGGACAAGGTGGAAAACTGTCTGGCAGGTTCCTGCATAGTACACACGGGTCCCCTCCCTCTGCCATGAAACCAACCTAAGCAACTTCATCTCCCTCTGTTTTGTGCCCTTGCTTGCCCAGGTGAATGTTCCTAACTTTCTGCTCATTAAAACAAAACGTGCCCTGGCTGGTTTGGCTCAGCAGTTAGAGCGTCAGCCCGCGGACCAAAAAGTCCTGGGTTCGATTCCGGCCAAGGGCACGTACCTCATTTGCAGTTTGTCCCTGGCCCCAGTTGGGGTCGTGCAGGTGGCAACAAATCGATGTCTCTCTCTCACATTGGTGTTTCTCTCTCTCTCTCTCTCCCCTACTCTGTCTGAAGATAAATGTAAAAATATCCTCAGGTGAGGAATAAAAAACAAAAAGCGTATGTGGGCAATCTGCACATCAGTGCCAGAAGTCCTTCCTCGTGTGCGGATGGGATGGAGCTGGCCCTGCAGGACAGGTGCCGCTGGGTGAGTGCGGCAGGGAATGCCCGCCGCCCACCACAGGCGGGATGCTTCCAGATCAAGCCCTGGGCCCCCCTTTTTGTACCAAGATAAATGAAACGAAGGTTATTTCGATGCTGGTGAAGTGTTAACAGTACTCTTGACTCACTGTTCTCACACAGCCATTTCAAATACTGTTTCTTCTCCCTTCTTCACTAAGCAAAGCGTTCTTGAAATACTAATTTGACATTCTAAATACAACCCGGCATCTGAAAACTTTGTTAAGCCCAGCTGGTGTGGCTCAGTGGATTGAGTGTCTTCCCATGGACTGAGAGGTCCCAGTTCGATTCCCAAATCAGTGCCAGAAGTCAGGGCACATGCCTGGGTTGTGGGCTTGATCCCCAGTAGGGGGCGTGCAGGAGGCAGCCAATTGATGTTTCTCTCTCACATCGATGTTTCTCTCTCTCCCTCTCCCTTCTTCTCTCTCTAAAGAATCAGTAAAAACATATTTAAAATAAATAAATTGAAACTTTGCTAAAAGAATGAGTTCCACAGTACAACTCCACAGCTACAACCACCATGTGGGTATGCTTATTGCCGGGTCCCATGCTTTGTGCCTTCTCCCTCCTCATCCACACAGCCAGCCAGTGGGGGCATCATTCCCATTTTACAGATGAGAAAACTGAGGCATGGAGAAGTGAGTGTTTTGCCCCAGGTTATACAGCTAACAAAAGGATTAGACTCCTCCTGGCCTCTGGGTGATGTGTGTCTGAAGTATAGTTAAAAGTCTGCCACCCCATGTCCTGGCCGGTATGGCCCAGTGGGAGAGTCCACCTGTGCACCAAAGGATCGCGGGTTCAATTCCTGGTCAGGGCACATACCTGGGTTAAGGGTTCGATCTCTGGCCCCATTAGGGCTCGTTCAGGAGGCAGTCAATCAATGTCTTTCTCAAGTTCTCCTTCTCTCTCTCTCTACCTCCCTCCCTTCCACTCTTCCTAAAAATCAATGGGAAAAAATATCCTCAGGTGAGGATTAACCAAAAAAAAAAAAAAAAAAGTCTGCCACCCCGAATCTGCCCTTAGGCAGTTTTCCACCCAGCTAAGCCCCTGCCAGGAACTCCCTCTGGAGCACAGAGATTTCCAGAGCTCTCTGCCTTCTGTTCCAAAGCAGCCAGGGGCAGAAACAGTCCCCTTTCCCAGGTACGGCCTGTCGAGGCTTCTCCACTACCAAACGCCTCCGTCATCACATTTGTTCCTTTCTGTTCCATTACTCATGCTAATCCCACGCATCTTTCCTGGCGTCTGGGGCGCTCACGCGTGGACGTAGATGCCCCCCACCCCTCCAGGCTTCTCATCGTGTCTGCAGATCCTGCTTCCACACAGCACCGGTGGCATCTGGGGACAGCGGGCCAGTGGGGTGTGCTGCAGGCCACCACAAAACATTGCACTCTGGGATCACATTCCCACCACACAGAAAAAACCAAGGCCAAGACAAGGCTACTTTTGACAAAGCAGGGTGGACTACTGATAGCTACAGGCAGTTTTGCAGGACAATACCTGCCTTCTCCTCTATGATCAGAAACAAAACGAGCGCAGGGTGAAAAAAGAAACCACTTCCACCTCCTTACAAAATGCGATTCCAACCCGAATATTAGATTAGCCCTTGGCAGCCTCCTCTCAAAGGGCCAGGATGGAAACCTGAGCCCTTCACAACAGTCAACGTGAAACAGGAAGACTAACATCAGAGGTAGGCGTCTCCGGCCAGGAGGCCACTGGGGTCCTTTGGTGTAACAACCATCTTTCTCGTGCAGTTAGCCACACACCTGGCTCGGGCCCAGGGTGTGAGAACGTGGACGGCGTGTTTCCAATTTGATGAGGCAGGGGGAGCATTTGAAAAGCTGCTTGGGGAAAGTCCTGCTCAGAATCACACGTTTTCAGAACCCAACCCTGACAACCAGAAGTCGGCACCCAGGGGCAA